CTATTTGTATGATGCATGGGGTTGCTGCCTACCCAGTGTGCCAAATCAGTCACTTATAAGTGTGAAATATTTTGCATGCTTAAAGATTTAGTGTGACCGCCGCTTGCACAGCATGAAAGCAGCAGCTTTTATTCTAAAGACAAAACAGAGATAGCAACTCTACATGAACAAAGGCCTAGAGGAAGTACCTGAAGAGCATGTTCTGAAGACTTTGACAGATTGTGCACTGCTTTACTGTCAGCTGAAGTCAGCAGTGTCACCTGGGATGGAGGTGTTGTTGAGAAATCATGTTTTAAAAGAAAGAGGGAGGGAATGCTTGCCGAATACAAAGACGCTTTAAGATTCGAAAGCAACGAGAGGCATTAGAGATTGAGAGAATGGCAAGATTGGGGGAAAAGGTACATTCTGACCTGCGCTGGTGTTGAAAGATTGAGAAACACAGTTGCACACATGAATCACTGTATGACACTTGACAAATGATCTGTACTTACTTATGACTAGTAATGTAGGTCAAACAATTGTTTTGATCAACAAACAAAACTAACCGAGCCCTGAAAGCTGAAGGCAATGCCAACTAAAGGCCGGCTGTAGCTTTTTAATGCTAGTCTTCATATTCAATTGGTCTGCCTTACATAACTGGTTATTTGCCAGGGATGTTATATGCCAGCGTGCATCATCATATCTCAAAAAGGCGGCAAAAACAGAAGAGGTTCCACATTCTAACCAGCAGATGGGGCAAAACCTGATCTCTTGTTGCACAATGAGCTAATTCATGGAAAACACTTTCAGATGTTAGATTTATAATCCCAAGACTTAGAATGTCAAAACAACATCACATATGGGACAAAGTAATTACTAACTGTTACTTTGAAGACCTTGGACCTGGTCTATGTTGTGAATGACCATGTGACAAAATCAATGTTTTATTAGTTGAACCTGATTGGGTGGATTTCACACAACAAGTCCATGTCATATTTCACTCAAAATCAAAACAAACAAGTTGTATTTTGTTATATTCAAGTAAAACCTCTATTAAAGTAATGAGAATTGGTGCAAGACATGTTTAACTGTCAGGAAGTTGTCATGTCATAATCCTAATGGTTCTAAAAAAATATATATATTTGTGCAAAGTTTGGAGTAGTTTAAAAGAAGTCTCTTCTGCTCACCAATGTTGCATTTATCGGTTCAAAAATACAGTAAAAACAATATTACAATTTAAAATAAAAGTTCTTTTTTTATGCATCTTTTTCAGCAGCACTTGATCCAGTAACACTAACACTTTATTTTCTATTCTATTAAAAAAAAAATCATGGACTGCGTTAGATGAAACTGAGAGGGGTCATAGCACTTGCATATTGTTGTCCTATTAGTTTCACTGCTTCTATTGTTCTCATTTGTAATTATCGCTTTGAATAAAAGCGTCTGCTAAATGAATAAATGTAATGCATTTTGAAACATGATTTATTCCAGTGATGTCAAAGCTGAATTTTCAGCATCATTACTCCAGTCTTCAGTGTCACATGATCCCCCTAATCATTCTAATATGCTGATTTGATTACTAGAAATGCTCATTATCAACGTTGCACTGCTTAATATTTTTGTGAAAATGTCAATTTATTTTCAGAATTCTTTAATGAATAGAATTTCAAAGAACAGCATTTATTTAAAATATTTAGTAACATTCTAAATGTCTTCACTGCCACTTTTGATCAAGTTAATGTGTCCTTGCTGAATAAAAGTAATAATTTCTTTTAAAAAAATGTTTTTTAAAATGATTGACCCCAAACTTTTACTCATTTCTTAAATTTTATTTTGATTTTAAGATAGCTATTGACTGATATTTAACAAAATTTATATACATTATTTAAATTAGGGATGCACCAATATGAAAATTTTGGCAGATACAGAGAACTCTTTTTTTGAAAGCCGATATATTGGCCGAGAGCCTTATTAAAAAATATATAATTTTTGAGAGCCTTATTAAAAAAAAAAAAAAATCTCACCATTAAAATCCATGACCCAAGCACTCAATTTTATGAAGCCTATATGACAGGCTTAAGTTTCACTTCAATGCATTTTCCTTTTTGAAGTGATTTCAATCATATTTCAAGCAATTCAAAAACATCATAGCGAACCGTGCACATCTGAAGCGTCTCAGCTGAAGGAAATAATTCATTATTTATCGGCACGATAACGATAACATTAAAAACTAACATATATCGGCCGATACCGATATGGTGGCCGATATATTGTGCATCCCTAATTTAAATCTATGATCAATCTCCAAAAAATGACAACAACAAAAAATGGGGGGAAAACCAGCTCTACACATAATGCACAGATTAAAAACTTGTGAAGATGTGAGCTGTGCCAACCAAACCATATTTACAACAAAGTATAAATCTAACTGCATTAGGCAACTAAAGGAAAACAATAACAGCATCTGCTGGGTGAACAATTTTTAAATACGTTCATGGAGTTTGAGGAAACAAAGACAGATGCATGGCATCCACAAAGTATTTCAGTAATTCCTGAACAGGAATGCCGTCTTGTGGAAATCACTCAACACGTTATCTGAACAACTGCCTGTCAGATGACCCTTGTACCCCAATACACAAAGGAAATAATGTGAAAACTATGTCTTTAGAGTCATAAATAAGGAGTGATGGCTTTCTCTGTCTTTTAAAAGAGCAATAAAGAAGAAAAAAACGTTTTTAACCATGTAGTAGAGCAACCTTATCTCTAGAAGTAAAACATAGGGGAAGGTCTACTGTTCGATGTGATAGGCCTCCGCTATCACAGACCCCCCCTTTGCATATCAGCTACAAAAGGTGTCACCATTTAGTGACAAGCGTCTTTACCCCGGGCTGGGCGAGTGACAGGCACGTAGGAGGCATCGAGCTGAGATCCAGCCCTTGAGTTTAAAGGCCACTGCCTACTCGCACTATACTTTGACTAGTACATAAGCTGAAGCCACAGCTTCGAGTCATCTAAAGCACTTGGCAGTTCACCATTTCCTCTCGAGTACGCCGACAAGTTGATATATTGTGTACAAGTTGCAACGCTGGAACTGAAAGTCGAGCATCTAAGAGGAAGCCAAGCAGCGACACTTCTCAACTGAAACTGTGTCACCAGATATGCACGGCCCCCTTTTGCAATTGAGAAAGCACTGCCATTTCTGGCATTCTTGTGACATCCGGAAGCAAACAAGAAACATTTTTGTTTGCATGCTTGTTTGAGTACTGTCACACTAGTGCATATTAAACCTATCTTTTCAAAATATCAGTAAACATACAACCTCACTGTACATTCAAAACAACTTCAACCCATGTCTTACATATGCACTACTGTTTGGGGGTCAGTACTTTTAAAAAAAAAGAAATTAATACTTTTATGGAACACATTAAATTGATCAAAAGTAACAGTTAAAACATTAACAATGTTTCAAATTAATTCCGTTCTTTTGAACTTCCTATTCATCAAAGAATCCTGGAAATTAAGCAGCACAACGGTGTTCAACATTGATAAGATGATATGTTTCTTGAGCAGCACATCATCATATCAGAATGATTTCTGAAGGATCATGTGACACTGAAGACTGGAGTAATGATGCTGAAAATCCAGCTTTGATCACAGGAAAATGCATTTTAAAATATATTAAAATAAACAGTTCTTTTAATTAATCTTGTAATATTTCACAATATTACTGTTTTTCTGTATTTTTGATCAAGTAAATGCAGCCTCAAAACCATAATAGTCTTTTTTCAAAAACTTTTGGAAAAACATTACTGACCCCAAAAACATATGGCAGCGTATATATTAAACTAAGCCAACTTCATTACCAACAAATACAATTTTTTTTTTAAATAACTCTTCAAAATGTTAAATCAACCATTGTGGCCATTGTAAACAACCTGATAAAAAGCATCACAACACATCCTACCTTCCCGATCAAGTGAATTATGAAACATTAACGAAACATTTTTAAATGGATGGGTCAAGCAGCCAACAAGTGTCCAGCACACAAACTCCTTTAAAAGTTTATGAATAGCAGGATGTTCCTCATGAAGATTTGTTTTCACTAAATAATCCCATAATCCCATTATTTTAATGACTTTTGCTGTTTTTCGAAAATGAGAAATACTGTAATAATAAAACCGTGGGTGTGTCCAAACTTTTTCCTGGTAGTGGAATAGCAAGAGATGGAATAGCAACTCTAATGAGAACAACCACACATCCATCACATGTCACTGCATTCCTCACAACACAACCATTTGCACATTAATGCTAAGAACACTGCATGGACATTTACCAGGATGAAATGACTAAAGGCTGTTCTCATTGCATAAAATTCTGTCATCATTTACTCACCCTGAAGTTGTTCCAAACCTGTATGAATTTCATTTTCTGCTGAACACAAAAGAAGATATTTTGAAGAATGTCGGTGTTGTAACCAAACAGCTGATGGACCCCTTTGACTTTCATAGTATGGGGGAAAAATACTATGGAAGCCAATGGGGTCCATCAGCTGTTTGGTTACAACACCGCCATTCTTCAAAATATCTTCTTTTGTGTTCAGCAGAAAGGTTTGGAACAACTTCAGGGTGAGTAAATGATGGGTGAACTATCCCTTTATCATCAAAAATTCTTGAAATCTTACCTGAGCCTGTGTATGCATTAAAAAAAACCACTCTCTGGAAAATATAATAAACCTAAATCAAGATTTTAAAAAAAGAAGAGTTCCCACGCCTTTTGACCAAATTCAAAGATGGTTTTATGTTTTTTTTGTAATTAATTTTTACATAAAGATGCCATTCACACAGACTAATTTCTATCTCATGAATTATTGAATTCACTAAATAATAATTTGAATGAGTTTTCAAGGGCTGGAAATCCCTTGACATTTACAGGTCTTCCATGACTTTGGGAACCCTGCATAAAAAGTGACAGTTCAGGCAGTCAAATCCCTTAAATCACTCAGAACATGAATGGCACCTCACCTGTCGTCCTCCCCATCAATGGGAATGGATATTCCGAAAAGACTGTTGACAGCCGGACTGGACAACTGCAGGCCTTCTGTGATTAAGGGCTTCATCATGTCTGTGCTGTGAATCTGTGCCGATGCATCAGACATCCTCCGGCTCTCATCCGTCTGACTGAAACCCATGGCAGGAGAGCCGATGCCCGCTGCCGTCCCGCTGCGAGGAACCTGGCTGTGTGCAGAGGTATTAAGGTTGGGTACTGTTGCCGATCCTGGCAGAGCAGTGAGCAAACTCAAGGCTGGCACGCCACCTACTCCGACCGTCCCTGGTGCTGCGGGCATGTTCTGAGTGCTTTGCGGCGGCGTCGACAAGCCTGAGGCCTGGTATTGTCCCACTGGTGATTGCTGAATTGATATAGGGCTGATGCTGCTCAACAGCCCCACATGCTGCACCAGGTTTGGGACAGATGACACCGGCTGGCTTCCTAAGGGAACACCTCCAGGGACTCCGGGGCTTTCCACTGTACCCAGAACCTGCATCCCTCCAGCGGATGGGGTCGGACCGGGGGACGACCCCTGACTGACGGCATGTCCGACAGAAAGGCTTGCTCCGGGGTGAGTCTGGGTGACTGTAGGCATGTTACTCTGGGTGTATTCAGGCTGACCGGCTGATATCTGAGCTGGTTGGCTTTGCAGGTGGTGTGCACTAGACTGGGGTTGATAAAGTTGAGGAGGAGGGATGCTGGGAGATTTCTGAAGGTGGGCACCCGGGTGTCCTCCATCATGATGGAGACTGTGCGGGACAGCGACATGAGAGTTTCCCAGCACCTGCTGCTGAGAAGACGGAGGCACTGGCTTATTACTAAAGGTCTCAGGTGAACAGGAACCCGGGCCGGTGAAAGATGACCCGTCGCTACCTGCGTCAGGTGCCACCTGAGCCATTACGGAGCCGACGGTGGCCCCGAGACCACTGTCCCTATCCGCTAAGGGCTCCGTCACATTGGTGTGCCTTATACTATCCACAGTCCTGCTCATCACAGAGCCATCCGTGTCTTTCTCATAATACTCCATACAGGTCCACCGGCCCCTCCTGAAGGGCTCTCCGGTGCCATGATCAAGCTTAATGACCCTGAAGCGTGAACTGCAGCTGGTTACGGTCGTCGCACTTGATGAATTTGTGACTTGAGACGTGCCCGCCGCTTGAGCACTAGAGGCCTGGATGCCCTGGTGACCCAGGCTGTTGCGCGGGATAAACCCACCGTTCACGGGGGCGGCAGCGGGCAACTGCCCCTCTGATTCACACACATTATTCAAAGTCTCCTCCGAGGAGCTCATGTCACAGACCTCAGGCTCATAGTCAGTCCTGGACATGTCAAATATCTCGGAGGACACGTCCTCTGTCCGGGACTCATCCGGGTCGTCCAGGCTCTCGGTGTCGTCGGTCGCGCTGTTGGCCCCGACTTGAGCCTGAGTCACACTCGTGATCTGAAAGCAACTCTTCTTCTTGGCCGGCATCTTCGACATGCTGAACAGCTTTTTATGACACCGAGACCCCTTAAAGACGCTGTTGACTTCACAAAACAGCAGATTGTTGCGGCACCGGACCCGAAATTTCACAGTTTTTCGAGATGATCGCGCGTCATCAGTCTTCCTCTTCTCTCCTGTTGCATTTTCGACGCGTGAACGGCGGACGAAAACAACCTCCACAAGCGGTGTATGAAAGATGACGTGTTGGTTATTAACTTATCCTCATATGCTGGTGATCCAGAAGGGCGGTGTGTGTGTGTAAGGCCGCTGTCGTAGATTCGGCTGCGTTCACTCCCCCTGCTGCCTCTCACTTCTCTACCTACATATAAGTATCAAACACATCCTGAACGAGCGCTTTGAAACACCGCCTCCTATGGCACTAAACTCAGCGACTAGATTCGGGCATACTAACAAAACAACTACGAAAACGGTTAGAAATGAAAGTTTATGGCTAACTCTAACTGGCAGACTTCGGAAACAGAAAATCTAAAAATTTCACCTCCCGACAAGATGGCTATATAATTTCGAGATGCATGCTGGGAAACGAGCGCAACAGGCATGACGCGTAAACGGATCGTGAATACGGCTTCCTACGCTCAAACTAACGGCGTAAGTTCATTTACCCTTTCGTTTTAAATGCACATTAAAACGGGACTCAACTCAATTAACTCCAATCCTGTAAAATATTTCTCGAAAAAATATGTTTTTTTATTGTTTTTATTATTCATATATAGGCTAATGTTGAACATTAACAGAAAGGCAGTCATACTTGAAAGATTTACAAACAAATGTAGTATTTAAGATTACATTGAATTTTCACATCACATTCTATGCCCAACAACAATAAACAAGTTAAAGACAAGGGAAAGGGGAAAAAAATGTTTTATGAAAGTCATTCTTGCCTACATAAAAGCTAGTGAAAGTTTCCACTAATGTCCTGGCAAAATAATAATAATATTAATATTAATAATAATAAGAGTTTCACTGTATGCTGTAGGCTAAGTTAAGTTACAATGGGAACCTGTTATGAAATAAACTATTATATTTTAAATTCATATAGGCTAAAATTACAACATAAAACACATTTGACATTCCTGGTATTTATGAGAAAAAACATTACTGACTGTTATAGTTGATTCTTGCTTGAATCCATTGTTTTTATTGTGTTCACTTATTCATCTAGCAGCTATAACAAAAATATGCCAACATTTTATGGGGGGTAGGTCTCACAAAAAAAAATATTCTAATTTAAGAGAGAACAGTGAAACCAGTTTAAAGGCTTTAGTCACTTGACTCAGACTCTCAGTCGCAAGTGATGTTCAGGTGTTCTATGAAATGCATATATTCTTCTGTGTATTTATTCTGAAACTATTTCCACTCTACCTGCTGCAATTGTACAGTGCTGTTATCATATTGATGAATGGGTTTTTATTATACTTATTGAGTGGCATTGTGTGTAGAATTTCAGCTATGACCAGTAGGGGGAGCAATTGCATTCTGCACACACACACACACACACACACACACACACACTTCTGATTAGCTTGAACCTTCTGGAATCCTGGAATATTGGCGGTGTTTTATCTGTCTTTTCGGTTCAAATTATCAAAATATATAATAATTGCGTTTTATACATGCCAAGTGCAATATAGAAATAACACACAGTAAATTCACACGACCATTAACCTACTTTGAGGAAAAGCCGGAAGTGCTTTAGTTCGGCAGTGAGGAGGAGACACCCCTCTGGTGGATTTTTCACAGATTTATTTCATATTCAGTTCTCTAGTAAAACGTTTTGGAAATTGTGTTCCACAAAGACTATAGTAAAATCAATTTGGTCTTTTTTATGTATATGCCTATTCTCTTCAACCACTTTTTTAGTCTTATGCTTAAGCAACTAAAGCTAGTTGCTGGAGCAACTAATCCAAATAATGCAACACACTTTTTATATTTTACTATGTTTTATCTAAAGCTGTCTGTTGGATTTAGGGGAGTGACAGGTGATTAGAATAATATTTCTTGGCTTTGTCAAATAAAATCAGTTGAGATAACATAACCGTATGGGTGTGCCTCCCCAATGACTGGCCTGTAAATGTCATGGTTTTGTTGTGTGTCTTGTGTCATTGTTTGCCACATGATCTGTCCTGACATTAATGACAATGGATGTAACCCAGCTGCTGACGTGACTGTAGAAGTCAATGGACTGGGCAAACCAAATTATTTTGGGATTTACATTTAATTTAGTTTGCAAACATATTGCCGCCACTATACATCTGAATCAGCAGAGTCTTGATGTATCTCACAAAAACGATATATAAAAATGTAGAAATATCATGGCTGACCTAATGGTCAAGGTTTTAGATACTTTCTCCACCCTGGACCAACAAAAATGTTACAAAATTGGGCTGGCTGATGTTTGACACGGTTGTAAATGTGACTATCTGCTGTTCTTTAAAGCATTATCCCATATTAGTTCATTGTTTAGGAAGTTTGCCATTTAAAAATAAAAGGCTTCCTTTTTTCTTTCAAAATGGTTACAATGAAATGGGCTGCAGTTCAAAACAATGTAATGTGATTAACGAAATAAGTAGCCTACATTTAATAACAACATAAATGAATGTACAAAACATATGTTTCCTAGTGTTACACAGGGGAGCCACTGGTTTCTGTGTCTTCTGTATTTATTGCCTTCACTGAAGGAAACTGCGTTCCGGTCCCCTTCATCGCTGTTTTTTGACAAAGGCCCTGGTGTTACAACAACTCACCCCACCTATTATACCTCACTGTTGTGGTGGTGTGGGGTGTAACATGAGCACTATTTGTACCCGCCATATAACACAGTTTAGTTAATTGTAGATTTAAAAATGATTAAAGCAAAAAAAAGCTTCTATATAGCTAAATATCTGTTAAATGATAGCTTGCTGTTTACATTCTGAGTAAATATTAATTGACATGATATTTAACATTTGCCATAAAAATAAATATGCAAAGGTGAAACTAAATCGATGTTTACTCCTATATAGGGGTAATGAAACAAAATCCCTTTTTCAAAGTGACAATTACTTCATATAACTTGTGATAATTCACCCAAAAATGAAAATCTTTCACCCTCAATCCTGTATGTCTTTCATCTGTGGAAATTCAGTGGAATTTAGTGTATTTTTCCCTCATGATATTTTAGTATCATTGAGATATCATTATGCTTTTTATTAATATTGTGAAATAATTCTATATTTTAATTCAAAGTTTTAGTTATGTATTTTTGCCATTTTATTTTCAATTTTAACTAAAGGAAAGTAAGAAATGTTGAATTGGCAACTAGATAAAAAAATAAGTTTAAGTTTTTTTTATATAGGCCTAGATATACTATTGTATAACAGAAATGTTTTTATGGTTTTAGTTTTAGTTAACCAGAATTAGAAGTCATTGGAGGCTAAAACTGATGACTGCTGAAAACATCAGCAAAACTGATGTTACCATCATTATTCAAAATATTTCATTTGTGTTCCACACAGAAATTAAAGTCATACAGGTTTAGAACAAAAATAGGGCGAATAGCCTAAACGATGACAAAAGTTTTATTTTTGAGTGAACTATCCCTTTAATAATTGAGACGTTATATCAGAAAACTTCATGTGGTGGACAGATATGGTAAATAATTCATGAGCCATAAAGGGGGTGGGAAATAATCAATTTAGACATTTTTTGTCATTTCCTAGCGTTGTGAAACTAATTACATCGTGATGGTCATATTGAGATGATGCGACCACATCAGAGGGGGTCTATTTTCGTGCAGCGTCGCAGTGGCGGTGGTAAGTCGTCTGCGCGGAGGGATATAGCACGGGACTACACCCAGGCGCTGTCTCAGTCCGTCGGCTTTCTTCCCTGCCCGAGCTGAGATTTCATACAAGCCAACGAGCCGGACAGCACAGGAGACGCCAAAACCCTCCATCCGCTCAACCCTCGCTAGTCCTTCAGCACGTGTAGCGTTAAATCCACTCCAGTGGGTGTAGTACGTCCTATATATCCTTTCAAATCACAGAAAAATGTCTTGGCAAAGCTACGTGGATAACCTGATGGCCGATGGCAGCTGCCAGGATGCCGCCATTGTTGGCTACACGGACGCCAAATATGTTTGGGCATCGTCAGAGGGGGGTACTTTTAGCGGTATAACGGTAAGTTTTTGCTAGATTAGCACCCGTTGTGAGGTTAACACTCCGTTTTGATTTAATTTGAAGTGTAATTTGTGTGTTAGGGCGAGCGGACGGATTCGGGTGTTAGCAAGCTAGTCAGCTTTAGCACGCGTGCATGGGGAGCCGGTCTCGTGCGCGCGAGCTAACCATTTCAAGCATATTTTACAATAAAACGAGCTGTTGTTATCGTGTTTATCTTTAGCAAAACGGCAACGGTAAACTTCAACCTCGATTTTTTTTCTCTTAAAATTGAAAGAGCGGGAGGAAATTGATGTGTTTCCACTGAATGGGTCGAGGCCCAGATGAAAGCACAGGGCTGTGGCAACGGCCTCTAGTCTTCATTACTCATATCACAATGAACCACTTTATGCTTATCTAAAGAACCTAGTTAAAGTGCAACCGCTGTACAGCCGAACCCATCTAGCAAGCTTCCTTTGCATTTTTGAAGAGTGTTATTGGAAGTGAACGGGTCAGGCTCTGATTAAATCACACATTTCCTTTTGCATTATTCAGCATTATCGATTTCTACCATATACACGCGTTGTGCATTGTATTTTTTAGGCCCTTTATGTGCAGAGATCCCCTCGCTAGATCGTTAATAAGCCCCGGATTCATCCAGGGATCGGACTGTCTGATCAGTCTTGAGATAAGCTGCAGTCTTCTTAGGCCATGAGAGGAGGAAGTTCAGACAGTGGCGCCTGTGCTTCCAAGTTTTTTCCCTACAGGAACACAAAGATGGCGTCCCGTCGCCTGTGAATACTCACTTTTCCCCGCATCTCACTGTTAGTATTAGAACTGGAATTATGCTATTGTCATTAAAAAAAGGTGGTTCAACGTAAACTACGTTTATAATTAAACTCCAAGAGTGGGTCAGATTGGCTTCACTCATGCTATGCTGGGAGATCAAATGATCCAATCAGGTTTTCCACAAGGTTCCCTTGAAGTACAGTCCCTATTTTAATGATTTACAGCAGAGACAGTGTAAACATGCATGATACTAAATACTAAATGAAGACTTTTTAAAATGTCTTTCTTTCTTTTTTTCACGTTTAATTTTTCAGCCTGATGAAATCGATGTCATTGTTGGCAAAGACCGAGAGGCCTTTTTCACCAGTGGGCTGACTTTAGGGAAAAAGAAGTGCTCGGTGATCAGAGACAGCCTTCCACTGGAAGGGGACTGGACAATGGACATCAGGACAAAGAGTCATAATGGAGAGCCGACATACAATGTTTCCATAGGCAGAGCTGGCAAAGGTAAACTATACATGTCAAATGTTTAATTTAGCCCACAGATATTTTAGGATCACCCCTGACAAGCTCTTTTATTAATGATTGCCTTTTTATTAGGGTTCTGTGTCTGTTCAAAGTATTAGTGTAGATTATCCCTGTGAAACAAGCTGTATCTAATTCCTTACAATTTTCATATAGATTTATTTCAATAAATATTGTTTTCCATAGCAATTTTAAAATGAATGACCCTTAATGCTAAGATGTGCCCACTCATACAGTCTGCCTTTGTGGTCCTCTTTTTGAATATTAGAAAAACAGACATGGAAGGTACAGTTTCAAACCAGTGCAATCTTCTGTCCCCTACCTCTCCTTTTCTGAAAAAAAAAAAAACACACACACTCGAGAGCTGGATTTCAGCGCTGTGCATGCACAAGCTTTTCTTGATCTAACAGTTTTCTTGAACCGCGTTTGAGATTTACTTTCACCTTGTCACTGACTGTTTATGTTTAATGAATTCGGTACTGGGCTATCAATCATCTGGTTATGCGGTCCACACCCTGTTATCTCTGCCCATGTTAGATAAATCGTCAGGGTGCAAGTTGAGTCTCATAGATTAGAGTCCTGCGCGGGACTGTTTTCTTCATCCCGCGCCCGCCGAATTTTTGACCATTATCGCCCGCTCCCGCAACGTATGTGTTACACTCCCGCCCGCTCCCGCAATATGTATGTCCACTCCCGCCCGCAAAACTCTGAGAATTTATTCCCGCACAATAATAGAGATGCACTGACTTTGTGTCTTCTCCCGTCCCGCAGGAAAAAAAACGCGTATTTGTATTGCTATTGTTAAAGAGATTCATGGGGTTGTTGGTTTCGTTTCCCTGGCCTGCATGTATTCTGACGCACTGATCAGGAAGATGAATAGTAAATGTCAGACTTGCCTTGCTCAGGTTTTGTACTGTAAATACCTTGTTTAAGGTTCTTTTCCACATCATTGACATCTCCATCATGTCGTTAGGCTACCTCCCAATCCCGCAGGGGTTTTATTTGTCCGCCCATTCCCGCCCACAGCAAAGTTCAAACCGCCCGCTCCCGCGAGATTTGCGTTGGGTCCCGTGGGACCCGGCAGGACTCAATCCCAATGCAGCCCTCTATCATAGATGCTGCTTATTTTGCACAATCCTAAAGGTAAAGGTCTATCATTCATAACCTGAGTTAGGTTGCTAGTAGGGCTGGGTAAAAAATATCGATTTCTCGATATTAATCGATTCCCATTTTTACGAACCGATATCGATTCTTAAATCTCAAGAATCGATTAGTCATCCTGTTTTCAGTTGATGAATGAATGGAACATTATAGCGCGCATCCCATCCAATAAATCACAATAATCTTCGTGCTTTGTTACTATTGATACTAAATAAAGTCTCAAATTTCAAATTACGTCCATTTTCTTATGAAATTCAAAAACATAAACACCGTTTTGGCGCTGTGGCGTGAGATCGCTCTGGCTCAGCTCAGCTCTAGAGAAGCAGCAGCGCGGAGCGCACATGATCTCCTCTTCTGCCTTAATAATACCAGTTACAGTGCGAAATAAACATGAATGAACGTCTGAAAGTGTGTTAAAAGATAGAGTACAACGAAATCCGTATCATGTCACATGGAATCGCTCAATCAGTGTTTCAACCGTGGAAAGACGTCAGTAAAACAACTTGTAAACAATGTCATGTAATGTCACATTTACCTCAGAAAAACCATATGTGACCATAAACTCGTTAGTCAGCTAGACAAATTAACTCTAAAGAGGAGCAATTTGCTAAATATATGCACCATATTACATATTCATTATAATTTTTAATGTTCTTCGATATTTAATGCATGTTTGAATAAATCTGGCAAGTTTTTATGACAGCCACCTTTTTAAATGTTTATATTTCATATAACTTTATTATTATAAAAATAAATAATGTAATTTGTATAGCTACAAATCAGTTAATTTTTACCTTCAATATTATTGTAGGCTAATGAAGCCTAGTAGGCTACAACTGACTCCCATAGTTTACAGCATTAGTTAAGAGATTTGTTTTCCTTGAGAAAATTTGCCATGTATTGTACCTGATATCCAAAATAATCAATATTGAATCGAAACGAATTGCAAGCTTGTGAATCGAATTGTGAAATTTGTGTCAATAACCCAGCCCTAGTTGCTAGGATTAAAGGGATAGTTCATCCAAATATTAAAATTCATTTACTCTCCCTGAAGTTGTTTCAAACCTGTGAGTTTTTCTTCTGTTGGACACAAGATTATATTTTGAAGAATGTCAGTAACCAAACAGTTGATGGACCCCATCATGAATCATCAAAAATACTACGGAAGTCAATGGGGTCCATCAACTGTCTGGTTACCAACATTCTTCAAAATATCTTCCTTTGTTTTTACCAGGAGAAAGAAACTCATACAGGTTTGGAACAACACTAGGGTGAGTAAATGAAGACAGAATTAAACATTTTGGGTGAACTATCCCTTTAAGCCCAGTGTGTTTAGCATGTTCAATAGACAATGTGTAGATGTGATCCCATGAAAGTCTCTGAGAGATATCTTGGCAAGGTAACTCCATTTCAAAGGGATTTGGGGGGTGGGGGTTTGAAGGTCCTTTGGAATGTGGCAGCGTCAAATTCCTCTTCCTATTTCCTCTTTCCTGTACGCTAAAATGTGTCACTACACCGCTCAAGCAACAGGCTTCAGACCTTCTTATCAAATACTCTGAATCACTTTCCTGTACTTGGTTGCTTTTAATGGTGAAACGCATGTGCATGCAAACACTTCTGATTGCTATTGTGATTCTCTTTCTCCTCTGTTTCATAATTGTTCCCTTTTTTCCTTAACCACTGCACTTCTCAACTTTCCCCTTCTCTATTTCTTCTCTTTCAGTCTTGGTTCTTGTAATGGGCAAAGAAGGGGTCCATGGAGGCGGATTGAATAAGAAGGCATACTCAATGGCAAAATACTTGAGGGATTCAGGGTTCTAATGTAATTAAGCTTGTTTAGTTTTCACTTGAGGGACAGAAAGAAGAAAGAAGTTTGCTGTTAAGCTTTCTCCTTCAAGCAGTTAATGTCTTGAAAAAATTTAATAGCAATCAAGGGAAGAATGGTGATTATATCCTAATGTCCCCGTGTCATCGGGGGGAAAGACTTTTTTTTTTTTTTTTCAGTTTTGTTCATTTGTCGTCTTTTTTTTCTTTCCTTATGTACTCCAGTGTTGGTTGTAGTCATGGGAAAGGAAGGTACCCACGGAGGATCGCTCAACAAGAAAGCATTTAGCATGGCTGAGTACCTGAGGAAAGTTGGATACTAAAGCAGCCCCTTCCCATCCATCCACACAGCAGCTCACTTTAAATACACCGCACCACACTACCCACCCACCCCTACCCTCATCCTTGCCCCTGCCCTCTTTTGTCAACTTGACAACACTACCAGAAACAGTTAGTAGATGCATTGTTGTCTCTAAATATCTCTGTCCATTTTTTTATGAAGTTTTCCTTTTGTTTAATGCTCCATGTTCTTTAGTTTTCCAAATTCTGACATCTTTTTTTTGTGCCACAGTAAATCAAGCATGTTGGTTTTATGAAGGTTCAGTCACAAACACTACTGTACATACCATAGATGCAAAATGAAGAATTGAAGAATTGGACTGCCCAGAATTTGTGTAAATTCACAAGTAAATGAAGTCACTACATTGTCCAATGTTTTCCTTAGGCACTTGCTAATGAACCAGCTTAAGATAGATTATGCTTCTCGAGTGCTTTGAGTCCTTGCCGAGCTCTCATGGTCTTCCTTGTATACAGCATGTCCAGGATGAAGAAAGTGCATGCATATCTTTTAGGTCAATATCATCTTTTTTCCAATAACTAACTACACCACCGTGTCTCAGCTTTGAGAATGAAGTTAACCAGTCACATAACACTTACTTTATTTGATCGGTTTGATCCTGAATTAATTTAGTAAGCACCTCTGCCCCTGCCCTTGTGAACCGCAACACCCTGGCCCCCGCTGTACCTTCTTTAGTTTGAAAACCTTATATCAAATGCTTTTGCTGTTGTATTTGGATGTGGTCTTGTAAGTCATTGGTCTAATGTTGGAATATTTTGAGTGTGGTGGCAGATCAGCATTTACAAGGTTTGGGTTAAATTGTTCCCCAAGAGCCTTTGCATCCCGGACTCTGTATGGACATTCCATCGCTACAATAGCTCAGGCACTTATAATTGTTGTTTGCCAGCTCCTGTAAAATGTTTTTTCTTTTTTGTTTGTCCTTTTTTGTTTTCTTTTTTTTAAGACAAAAAGTGCTGCCATCCCAATTTACCTCTGGTTCTGTCCATTTCACTTTGGGTTCTCCAATAGGACCAATTTTGTGTTGCATCCGAAGGGATTAACAGAATTGCTCCAAACTGTTGTTGTGAAGGATGACTGCTAGCTTCATCTGTTGCTGACTTTATAACACTAAATTTTCAACACCAAGTACACAATGTAACACCAAGCTAATTTCTATTAAACACTATTACTGGCTTAACAGTTTAAATTAAAAATCAAGTGTATGATAACTACCTGAGAATTTCTCTCATGAATGTCTTGAATAGATGAAATGGCAGTCTTATTGTTAACATGTCACTTCAAAATTCTTAAACATTTTTGACTTTTAATCTGTTATTTTCAAGAATGAAACCATTTGGAAGTCATTGCCTTGTACACTACTTAATTGCGATGTATCAAACTGTCATAGCACGGTACAAATGCTTCATTAAATAGACAAAAAATATATATACTGAAGTAAACTGTGTACACTAACCTTTTCTGGGATATGGTGGTATTAGTTGGAAAAAGACCACTAGTCGAAGTCAGTTGTATTGTGGAAACTTGTTAAATAAAGCTGTGTATCCTGTGCCATAATGTAGATCTGATCTGTTGCTACTGTGAGATGGATTTTAACTGCTGCCTTGTGAGGAGTCAATTCTTTAGTGGCACCTTTGGGATATTTGGCATAAATTCAAACTCCAGGGCTTGTGGAAAATGTACAGAAAAAAAGAAGAAAAAAAACATCAAATTATGTCCAATTCTCTCCCTTCTTACATCTGACCAGATCAACTCAATTTGCGTGAAAGGAAAGAAAAAACAAATGCCATGATTTAACCACCTTGTTTACAGACAGATCAAATAAACCTATTCCAACCAGAAATTTCATTTTGTTCATGTGTTTGTCTTCAAGCATCTTTTTATGAATATGTTGAAAATGAAGTCTACCAAAGACTGTGTAGAGCATGGTAGGTATCAGAAAATGGATTTGCTGCCTGATTAGTTTTTTTCCTTTCTCTCTTAAGATATTTTCTATTCAATATGTGAACTGTTGAAATTAAAGTGAGCACTTGAAGGAAAAATATACTATGCCTCATTGGTTTGTATTTGACATGGATAAGCCTGAAGAGGTCGCTATAATCACAAACATAGTGTACGCAAACTCCGGTTTTGCAGACTAAAATGCATGTTTTAACTGAAAGCAACTTGCACTGACCTATTTTAAAATATGCCCTTGTTTTGTCTCAAGATTAACACCAGTAATGTTTTTTCTAAGGCAGGTTTATAAAATATACTTAAAGGGATAGTTCTCCCCCCCAAAAAATTCTTTCATTATTTAATGGGTTATTGGGCCTGTTTGGTTGCCCACATTCTTCAAAATATCAGTTGTGTTCAGCAGAGGAAAGAAGTTCATAGCCTACAAGTTTGGAATAATGTGTAATTTTTAATTTTTGGATGAACTATCCCTTTAAATGTCCTAATTGAACTAATACTGACTTAATCAAAGCCCTCTCTGTGGAACAAGGCCTTGGTTTAATTTTATTTCCAGAATTAGCTTGTCTGATGTGAAGAGTTGCAAGTATGTACTACATATACATATAATTTGACATGCCATCTAGGACTGGCAGAGTATAACTAGTAAAGATGTGCCTACTCATACACACGATTCACTCTACTTAAGCTTAGACCAGGGGTAGGCAACGTCAGTCCTGCAGAGTTTGGCTCCAACCCTGGAAAAAAATCGCCTGCCTGTAGCAATCCTGAAGACATTGATTAGCTTGTTCAGGTGTGTTTGATTAGGGTTGGAGCACAACTCTGCAGGACATCGGCTCTCCTGGACCGACGTTGCCTACCTCACATATGATACTTATCCACGTCCCTTAATTTCTCTCTCTAGTCTAGGGTGCCTAACAGGTGTCTGATTGGCTGGACGTGCACTAATTGTAGACATACGATCTTATATATTTCAGGTGCTTGAAAAAAGACGCGTTTTTGCGACACACTACAGTGGTGTCCCGCGGAGTGTGTGCAAAATTGTCTTGTCGAATGGCGACTAAAGGGAAACCGATCCTGAAGTTTTTTCTGTTTATTTGGCTTAGCTTTATTAAAGTTAGTGGTTTTGTGGTATTTAATGAGGAAAAGAAACCTTTTTCACTGGGCTCTTCTCACAAGAATGCACGGACAAAGGAGTCATTTGATCGACAAGACGAGAAGCCGAATTCTGGAGCACCGGTTGGGCGCCTTCTCGTTTGGCAAGACCAAGCTCCAAAGTCTCATGGTGATGGTAGTGACCGTTTTTCTTCGGATCTCGGTCGAGCCGATGAGAATGCATACCAGTCAGATGATCCAGGTAAACGATGTACCCGTGATTTTTTTTTATGCATTTGTAAGGAGGATTTAAATCACTAAAAATACAGAATACATGTTTAGTGAATATTTAACAAGAATTTTAGTCCATGACTAGTCATCCAGTTTTATGTTCCCCATTGAGCAAAACAAACAAAATAAAAAATGTACAAATGAGTCTTAAAACAAGATTTGTGCAAACTCATTTTATTGGGATTATTAGGCCTATTAGACAATTGACACCCAGAGGCCAGTTGTATAAACACCCAAGTTATGCTAAGACTATTTTTTGTAGGCCTACTAGTATGACCAACTTGCAATTAATCAAGGGGCAATCAGTCTTACTTTTTAGTTTCAAATTAGACCAATCTACGTTTTTACTTAACTGACTTAAAGCAGTTATGAATAATCTTAATGAAAAAAAAAAAAGTTAGGAATAACTTGTAAAACTAGCAGTTTATGCAACCGGCCACTGAAGCAAAAAGTAATCTTTTAACCTTAAAATACTTGTTGTGTGTATGTCTGTGAGTGTTTGTGTGTGTTTGCTGGTTTTGATAAATGATTGTGTGCATAAAGCATCAATGTGTTTGGAGTGTGTGCGTGTGTTGCTGTGTATTCATTCATTTCACATTCGTTTTTGCGGTTTTTCACTAAAACTAATGAAAAGCTGAATGGTATTTAATGGTCACAACATTGAAGACATAAAAGCATATTAATAATGTCAGTAATTTTATTAACATAATGTCCATTGCTATAGATGTTAATGTTCCACAGCTCTGAAAGATCTTCAAATTACTTTGAATATCACTTGATACTTTTAAAGGGTTAGTTCACCCAAAAATGAAAATTATGTCATTAATGACTCACCCTCATGTCGTCCCAAGCCCGTAAGACCTCCGTTCATCTTCAGAACACAGTTTAAGATATTTTAGATTTAGTCTGAGAGCTTTCTGTCCCTCCATTGAAAATGTATGTGTCCAGGAAGGGAATAATGACATCATCAAAGTAGTCCATGTGACATCAGTTAGAATGTTTTGAAGCTTCGAAAATACATTTTGGTCCAAAAATAACAAAAACTACGACTTTATTCAGCATTGTATGGTCTTCCGGTTCTGTTGTCAATCCGCGTTCAGTGACGTTGATGACGTAAGACGCTGCTGACGTGTATCTGGTGTGTCCGTGTATTGGGGTTCAAATATATATGGCTGGGCAAAAAAATGCAAGTCTTCCTCTGTGTCGAAATCCTTAGACATGTTTGCGAAGATTGTTTTGTTTACAGCGTGCATCTCCCTCAGACTGTAAACGAAGCTCGGGCGCACCAGATTACACGTCAGCAGCGTCTTACATCATCAGCATCACTGAACGCGGCTTGGCAACAGAACCGGAAGACAATACAATGCTGAATAAAGTCGTAGTTTTTGTTATTTTTGGACCAAAATGTATTTTCGATGCTTCAAAACATTCTAACTAACCCACTGATGTCACATGGACTACTTTGATGTTTTTCTAACCTTTCTGGACAAGGACAGTATACAGTGTATACATTCTCAATCGAGGGACAGAAAACTCTCGGACTAAATCTAAAATATCTTAAACTGTGTTCCGAAGATGAACGGAGACCTACGGGCTTGGGATGACATGAGGGTGAGTCATTAATGACATAATTTTCATTTTTGGGTGAACTAACCCTTTAAGATTATTATAAATCTAAGAAGGTAAAGGAGCTCCTCTACCTCCTGTCTAGGTGGTTAGCCATGCATGTCTTATGTGATGCCTGAATTTCAATCGGATTAAGTTATGGGTCATACTTTTGTTGTGATTGGTTGATCAGCGACCAATCAGTGACCAGGCAGTATCATATTAAAAAAAAAAACATTAAAATCTTAGGCTATAAGGCAAAAACCATGTGATGTCCATTCCAATGGTTGCAGGGTCTGAATGGGTTATTTATTGCACCTCCATGCAAAAGCATTTATTTTTGTTTGCATGGTGTTAAAGTTGGACTTGTCTTCCAGTTTACCCTGTTTGTGTCTTCTGTCAAAAGGCGGGATGAAGTTGCAACCTCTTTGGGGACAGGTTTATGGTCTGAACACCCCGTATACTCCAACAGTAGAAAGGCTACTTGATATGAAACCCCAAGTAGATTGTGTTGGAGATTTGATGAAACTGATCGTTCATGGACGAGAGGCTCCTTTTGGATCCAGCTTTCTTATTGATAGAGGTTTGCCTCTCCATTGACATTTAAGGCTTCAAACTTTTGTTTTTTGCTTCCCAAAAATGTATTTTTATCCCTTTGTAGGAAGCAATCCACCACTTCCATTGTCACAGTTGCCCTCAGAATGTGGTCATAGATTTCTGAGAACATGGAGAGACTTTGTTTTCATTATACCAAATGATGGATGTTACGTATCACACGAGGTTTGCATTTAGATTTCAATGTAAATAGAATTATAGCATGCGTTATCCCTTCTGACCTTACTCCTTGGTCTTTTCAGAGAGACACTTTTGTTCTTCCCTTACTTTGGTTTGGATTGGCTGTGAAAATGTCTTGTTCCTCACCAACCTCGGCACAGAGAGCTCCAACTGTCTCCTGCTACACGAATGGCATGATTGTGAGGCTGGATAAAGGAGTCTCTGAGAACCTGAAGATCAAAGGTAACAAACAGGTCCATGTTTGTTTGCATAGGTTGATGTGAGTGTTACAGGTCTAAATTTAGTTAATTATGTTTAAACTTAGTAATGAGTGCGTGGGAGCCTCTAATGAAAGCGTCAACTAGATGTGGATACAGCTTGGGGTCACATGCAGAAAGTGTGGTCATCCATGCTCCGTACATGCCATGCACTGAGCCAAAGGTATGCAATATACAGTATTTTACATTTGCCTAATTTCAGCCAGTTTCTCATCTTGAATAAACTAATCTGCTGCCTTTTACAGGATGGGATGTTCACTCTTAGCATGGCAGCAGACAGCGAGTTTAATCTGTCCTGTCCAGCATTGTCGATTAATCTTCCTATGAGTCTGCCTGATCTTGCACCTAAAAATTATACACTGACTTTTACGCAACAGGCTCTAGTTTCATCAACAGTCCCTCCCACCACCATTACTACTACCACCACCACTAAAACCACTCAGCCAGTAAGGGCTCCAAGTTTAACGACCTCCACAAGTTCACCAGTTCAGAAGTTGGCTACTCTTCCCCTTCCATATAACATCCCGGCCCAGCCAAATTTTAAACCTGTTCCTCCTAGTTACCCTTTTCTACATTTTCCTCCAAACATGTCACCAGAGGTTGTTCCTCAAGGTCCCAAAATTATGGGTCTCCCAACTGCTATCACCCAGCAGCCACAACCACACGTTTACATAAGACCTCCTCAAACTTGGTACCCTTGGATCTCTAAGCCCAGTTTGGGTCTCACCCCTGTCCCCAGTCCAAGTACAGCTTTGCCATATCCAAGAGAACCTTTGTTGCCTCCTACCAAGGCTCCTAAAACCCCTCTCGCTCCCCTACTAAAACCCACAAGCAGTCCTCAAGATAAGTTTACAATCCCCGTTGTCCCACCTGTGGAATGGGCACTTGGGTTTCCTCCCAGAAATTTGGTGTATCCTTTATATCCTGGAAAACCTGGATTTCCACAAGACCCATACTGGCCTTATTCCCAAAACCAACCAGGACCCTCTAAACCACACATTCCACCAAAACCAGAGTCTGCACCACCTACACCTGCCCCTACAAGAAAGGCAGGGCCACAGCTCTTCCACAATCAATGGGATAAACCCTTCCACAATCAATGGGATAAACCCTTCCACAATCAATGGGATAAACCCTTCCACAATCAATGGGATAAACCCTTCCACAATCAATGGGATAAACCCTTCTCACCACGTTATCCGGTAATGCCTCCAGTTCCTATAAAAGTCCTCCAGAATAATACAGTTTCCACCTCTGGGGCTGTTGTTTCCAGATCAAACACATCAGTTAAGGGTCCTCCTATGAGTGTAGAGTTTGAATTTGCCCTAAGCCCCGATCCTACTCCTTCACTCCCCAAATCTCCTGAAGTTGTTTACACCCCTGCCCCCATAAATGCTTGCCTGACTCCAATTTGTTTGTCACATGTACTTTCTTTTCTCTGTCCAACTTTCTGCTCTGGCCCACCTTCAATATCCTACCACAACCATCTCTATTTTGATCGTCCTCTGTCTAGTTTTGACATTTCTAGTCTGACTAAAGTTACAGGCCAAGTGCTGTCATCTCCCGTTATATCTGCAGGTTCAACCCCATTTCCTCTTGTTCATGGCATGGGTTATAATTATGGCCTGCTTTCTTCACAAGGTGCAATTGTACCACCAGCTTCAGATATTACAGCAATGCAATATTTGGCAGAGAATCCCACCGTTAAGGGTATCCATGTCCCTCATACTTCAAAGCTTTTGACAGGACCTATTATGAGTCCCTCCATTTTTAGGAAGTTGGAGTCACATACTGGTTTTACATGGCCTACAGTGAAACCTGCAAATGTTGCTCCTGTTCTACACCCTTTGGGACCTTCTAAGCTGCCTTCTGGACGCTTACAAAATGGACCAGTTGCTGAGCCTCTTGTCTATTCAAACCAAAGCCCAAAACCTGCAGTTTACCAGGCTGAGAGGGAACGGTATGTTCCCCCATGGGGACATCACACGCAACCAAAGTTAGTTGCTCCAAATAATGCTCCCTTTTTTGAGAAAATGGTCCAATCTGACATTTCTTCAAAACCTACAGCTCATGGCAAAAATGTGCATATGGATCACTGGTATCAAGCTACTTATTCAAATGCTAAGGTCCCAATATCTGACTCTCCCGCAAAAGACTCATTCCACCAGATGTCATTACCTCAGCCATCCAATAATCACAAATCATTTGAGCCCTCAACCACGGCACCTCAACCAGAGCAAACTAGTGGTGGTAACCTTCCATTAATGAACCCTCAGCAGTATAACTCTCAAAGTGGAAAATCTGTGGGTCCTGTTTTTAGGGGCACATATTGGGTTCCTGCTGTTCAATCTAACCAGGATGCATTACTCTCCAGCTATCACTTAGATGGTAAGTGAATCAGTTCTGTGTACAAAATGGTACAGCATAACTACTGTTAAAGGTGTGTGTATGCATATATATACACATACAAACACTATTTTTTTACACATTATGTTTTAAGGGTTATGAGGCGTTCATCCACAGTAGACCAAGGAATTCGGAGAACTGGAAACAACGCTAACTAATAAAACTGTTTAAGTGACAAAACTGTTATTGGTTTTCTTTTAAAGAATGTCTGGCCTGCATTGCCTGTTTAGTTAAATGTACACTTTGTATGGAGTTCATTTGGAGTCTTTATTGATTAGGGTAATCTAGTTTGTCTTTTACACAAGTTTATATTCCGATGGTTCTTACAAATAAGTTGAGTTTTTCATCCTCATGTTGATTTGATTTAAATGCAGGATGTCACAACAGTATACAGACTGCAGTTAATTTAGCATCACTCACTTGGAACAAGTGTTTGTTGGGTGGGTGGGCTGTCCAATCCAGTTAGTGCAGAATCCCCTTCCAGCAGAGTTTAGCTCTAGCCCTAATAAAACATAGCAGAGCCAGCTAATCAAGGTCTTCAGGATTTGTGCTTTGGAGCTAAACTCTGCAGGATGGTGGCACTTTTGGGGTACCTATGGCTTTATATCCTGTGTCCATGCCACCATTACCAGAAATGCAAAAGTCAACTTGATTTTCTCAGGTGAGCAAGTTATTGAAAAAATCATTTACATGTACATACCTCCACTTGCCCTACAGTGTTTGTTTGTTTGCTGTTTTCATTGTAAAATGACTGGTAATGTTAACTCCCAATCAATGAGAAACCTTTAAAACCATACAAACTCAAGATAAGAATGTTTATCAAAAATGTGAAGCACATATTCCCTTTGGAAATGCAGCATTTATAACCAACGTTAGAGAATCTCTGTCCCACTTATGTCATTGTCATTGATATTTAATGACATCTTGTCAAGGTGAACATTTTATTACAGCACCACAGAATAACAGGAATATCCTTGAATCGTTTTCTTAACAAGAAGGCTAGTTTTGTTTATACATGTACGTACCGGTTTTGTTATAAAACATTTACTCCTGACTGATTGCAGTTATAAGTTTGGTGGCAATCTCAGAACTTAAAAGGATAAGTCTGGAGACCAAACCAAGTGTGACTTAATCTTATCTACAGTATCAACATTTGAAGTGGATCAAAAAAGTTGATCAAAGTTATCCTAAGACAAGAACGGGTATTGTTCAAAATGCATATATAACTTTAATGAAAGGATTTGATCAACTTCAAATGACGACTACTGTATATGGGATGGTTCATGAAATGGGAACAAGTCAGAAATGTTTCTTTTTTCCTGGACAGATCGGAGCGAGGAGGATTGGATCTAAAAGAATGAGTGGTTTTTTTGCTATTACTGTTGCATCTACTGCTGGCCCTTCTGGCACTACTGTTGCATCTACTGCTGGCCCTTCTGGTGCAGAAACCTCCCTCTTTACAACCGGAGCCTCCTTTGGCGGCACAACCACCGCTACCTTAGCTACCTCAGCTGATTCATCAGATTCTACAGAGAGCAGGCCGCTTTCCGCAGGGTCATGAAGTGCTGTCAGCTTGTGATGTCTGAGGTCATGGATGGTGGGGTGATGGTGGGGTCCAAAGGTGTGTGCATGCAAAAGTTGTTGGATTCGTACTGTGGCATTGCTCGTGGGGTCAACAGTTTGGGTCTGTCATGAAAAAAAAAAAGGTCTATTTAAATTCCTCTAATCTCTGCTTTAGTTTACTCTGAGTTTAAAGTTAGATGTACAGTGTGCCACTACTGGTGCTTGCATATAGCAACATTGACCAAGCATACTGACTTTGAGGGGAGTGAGTGAAACCAATTTTATGTTTTGGTGTTACACATGGAACATAAATTTCACACTTCACCTATATGGTTCATTTTTTGTTTGTTTGTAACATATGATATAATTGACCAAACCAAGGCAGCTTTGCAATGCAATTGTTTTTTTTTTAAGATTATATTTTAACATCTTTGCATTCATTTAACTTGTCCTAATCATTTGTCATGTCTACAAGAAAAATGCTTCACTAAAACTTTAACTAAAATGATAGAATATATATATATATATATATATACACGTTATTAAAAAGTATAAATTATACAAAAATAACATTAGATTAAAGGCAGCCATTAAATTGACAAGTGTAAAATAGCAAAGAGGTATTTACTGGGCTGAAGATTTTGCAGTCAACAGCATTCAGATTGGCAGAACCTTCAGCTCGACAGAGGCCATGAATCTAAAAATAGCCACAAATATGGATTAGACACTTTGAAGTCAACATGAAAGACTGTTCAACCCATTTTGCTTCTGTAATCTGATGTGATTTCTGAGCAAAACAGGATATTCAACAAGAAAGAAATGTAGGACGAGACTTTTATCTGTGGGATTTGACTGGATCATGAAAAGAGGGCATGAAGAATAGAGCCAGGCAGTTGGACGGAGTGGGGTTTGAAAAGAGGGCTTGGTGAAATCATCTGAAAAGTAAAGTCGCTTCAAAGGTGGAGCACTAATGTCTTATGCACAATAGATCAGGAAGGTGTTTAGGTTAATAGGGTCATTTCTGGCTTCATGTTGACTTTTAATACAAACATTTACACCTGCCAGCGGAACACTAGCCAAACTCTCTCTCTCTCTCTCAAGATATTTAAATATTCTTACAGCAACAGTGTGATTCTGAGGGATGCATATATCATCATCATAACTCGTGCAGTTAGTCCCAATAATGGCATATTCTGCAAAGTATTTGGGTCCACCGCTGACAATCTGAAAAAAGTAGAAAACAGTACCATATTATCTATAGGGAGCTTTATTTTCTAATAATAATTTCTAATATTCCATTTACATTACCTGGGATGCCATTCGTCCAATTTCAAGGAGTGCAAACTTGTTTAGTGTATTGTTTTTATTGAAACTATCTAAAGACTTTTCAATGAGTTGGAGGCCATCTGTGTCATTAAATGGAACGAGGCTAGGGCAGCCTAGGCATTCATCCTCTGATTCTAGATACAACAACGACAAAAAACAAAGGGTCTCCTTTCCAGATCAGATGACAAAAAGTGCATTTGTTTTAATAATTTTTTTTGTGTGTGTGTGTCCTCTTACCTGTTTCGGTTTTACACTTGAATGCCACAACAGACAGACCTTGAGTTGTATTTGTCAGGGCAAAATCACAATCTGCTTCAACAGCCTAGACAAGGACCAGATCCTGTTAGATAAATGCAATATACGACATATTTTCAATAAAGTTAACTGAACAGATCTCACCGTAGTATGCTTTTGTCTGACTGGACACAGGCTCACTGGTGTTGGATCCAAGACGTGACATGTAGTTTCCAGCAAGTCCAACTCCAGAAGATACGTGTCTGCCTGACCTGGCTACAAAGAGACTTTTAAATCTTAAAACCCTATTTATACCTCTAATAAAATGTGTGGATTGATATATTGACATCCCAAGTGTGCAACAAATGAACACTTATATTAAACATTTCCGAAAATATCATGTAACTGCACAGGTCTCATATTCTTAAAAAAGCTCAGTGGATCATGAGCATCCATTGTCTTACCTTGGAGAGGATCTTGATTTTCTCAATGCGATTCAGGGCATATTTGTAACCGTGGGTGTGCTGAGCGTTGAGAAAATCCTGTGCCACCAGAGCCGCTGCTTCAGCCTCCGGGGAATCACAGGGAGGCAAGCTGAAAGTGGGCATCACCCCCTGTGCCCATGAGCCCATTACCAGGAGCCCAAAAACAGCCACTGTAACCCAGAGTTGCATGCTGAACAGTAATAACCTGAACTCCCGAAGCAAAGACAATATGCGGATAGAAGGTTGCAGAGCTTGGTTTGTTGCGTGTGTGTATATATATATACATATATACGCTGTACTTTAGTCTTGACGACATTCTGACTTCTGTTACGTAAATGACACCAATGAACCATCTTTGAGTGCCAATATAAACATAACTGTGCAATTTGAGTGGGTGTTTAAATTAAAGGTTGGTTTGGGGAAGCAGGGGTGCTTTTAAACTTTGACCATGTCCTTGGTGATAAAACTCACATGTATGGAACCGGACTGAAGTCAGTCCAGTCAGCTTTGCATCCAGTCATTCTTCAGTTTGGGTTTTTTGGAATGAATTCGCACCACATAAAAAATATAATCAGAAAAGCTAAAGCCTTATGTTTGACTCACTTTTTTGCAAAAGTTTAAATGTCAGATTTCAAGCATTTAAAAAAAAAGCCTCCAAGTGTGTTTTTGCTGTTTCTGGTGCTTATCGAACACCCAGCAATGAAAAGCAAACATAACTTAATGTAAACTTGTTTTTCTGAAGAGCCTCTATTTGCCTGAGTATTGCGGAAATCCAATTCAACTACCAGTGGTCAGCAATATGAGGGATGCTTGCAAACACTTTGATCCAGAGTGAGTAGAAGATTTACTAATATGATATTTAATGGCCAATGTTGGCCCTTCATTTCCTTTTAAGAAAGATCTTCAAACCATTACCAGTCTCTGTTAATCTCTGTGATATTCTGGTCTAAAAAAAATAAAAATAAAAAATAACAGCCATTCAACAATCAACACAGACATTTAAATATTCTAAATTTAAGTTTGAAACCTGTTGTCAATCTTGGATTCATAAGCAAAACCAAAACTATAATATACACAGCTGCTGCATAGAAACAACTATTGAATGCTCTTATTTTTGTGATTAGTTTGTTAAATTTCAAAACTAAATCGGCTATATGGGGTAAAATAATGGAAAGCTAATAAAGTCATTTAATCATTGATATATAAAAGGCTAGAATTGCATATTTACTTCAAAAAATAACATTAAACATCAAAATAAATTCATAAATCAGAACACCAGTTGATAAAAAAATCATTTAATGATGGGATTAAAAATCATATATCGTTTTTCTCATTGATTGGATCTTAAACTACATTTGATTAAAAAAACTGACTCATAATGACCTATAATAATATTGAAAGGGGAGCTATTATGACCATTTTGAAATGATTTTGTTTTTGGGGTCTACTAAAATTCGATTTCATGATTGATTGAAAAAAAATGCCTTAATTTCCACATATTTGACATTGTTGCAGCACCTCTCTTCACAGTCTGCCAGTAACGCTCTGGGGTGCCTTACCCAAAAGCATCGTTAGCCAACTATGTTCGTAAGTTCGGTCGTTATCAGCATAGTTCAACGAATCGATGTTTCCCGAAATCATTGTTCCAACGAATATTCGCAAACAGCATCGCAAAGTTGTGTGGTTGGAACGACAGCTCTCGACCTGTGGTTAAATGCATAGTTTAGTTTGCATGACGTGGACTTAATAAATCCGTATCTTGAGCAAAATAAGCAAGCTCAAGCACATTCATTACAACCCGTATTTTTTTATTTAGAATACATACAAATGTCATGTACGTCTTTTAGTTTGTCAAGAGATTTAAAGCACCATTTTTGAAGAGTGCGCATGTGCGAACGTGCTCTACATAGTAAGAACGAGCCTATGATTGAATCTGGAAATAAAGCAAAATAGTCCTCCTCAGATGCCATGTCTGTAATTTATATCAAAACATCTAGCATTAATTCGATCTCAAACAGTTTAATTGAAAGAAGTTATTACTCCACCACGTGTGTGACGTCATAAACCAAGGTGGTTGAACGACCACATTGTTTCGGGAAAGAGTCGTGACTGGCTAGTTGATTTCTTCAACGATGCATCGTACTATGGTAGTGATGCAGCAAGTTTAAGCCAAGTTCACACTACATGATTTTAAGCCCGATTTAAGCCCGATTTGCAAATCGCTGAGATCGCCGACAGGTCAGGGTGTTATCGCGTGCAAATCGCGGGAGATTAGCGGGCGATGAACGCTCGCCAATCTGTTAGTATGAAAGGGCCAACAACGCATCAAAGACACTCGCAGACGCCTCGCAGACGCGTCGCCGAGCCCAGAAAAATATCTAGCATGCTAGATATCCAGAGCTGTCGCACGACTCAAGCTCACGTGATGTCATGAGCTACAGCCAATCAGAGCAAGGCATGTTCGCGTGTTGTGTTCTTCTTCGTCTTCTTCGCTGGGAAGAAGCGCGTGCTGTTTCGCGTCATTTCCGGTTCGTTTTATCGCGTGATTTTTCGTGACAAAACGTGGTTTGTAGACAAGATAGAATCGTTGGGTGACAGAGTTGTTGTCAACTCGTGTAGTGCGTTACCCCCTGTTGCGGATCAATCACGTTGTGTCGTGTGGTGTGAACTAGCTCAACAACTTGAACACTGCTGATTTCACAGAGAGCAAGTCATGTAGTGTGAACCGCACAGTTCAGCCCGACGTTTTAAAATCATGTAGTGTGAACTAGGCTTACTGGTTGTATGGGAAACGCACCCCTGTTAAGTTCCTGTTTCAATGAAGCCACTCCTTCTGAAAGGAGCAATGTGCTCTGATTGGTGGGCTGGAACAGTGTGTTGTGGCTGGTCAACTGCTTAGAGTGTGTTTCGCAAATGTCAAGCACCTTACCATAACCATGAGTTTCAACACACAACTAAGGCAACAGGCCACCCCCCCCCCCCCCCCAATTGTTTTATTTATTTTTTTGCTTATACTGTACCTTGGCCAGAAATTATTTAAATGAGGAATATTGTGAGGTGTACTTTCCCGTGAGAAAACTCAAGACTACAATGGAGGCGTTTCAGGGATTTCAGAAACAGCTGCGAGCTGATACAGAGAATAACTCCCTTTGGAGTGACTTTGTGTTTTGTAACTTTGCAGACCTTTTTCATTCTCAAACAGCAACATTACACACTAAAAAGCATACTAGGACCCCTTTAAAGGCCTTCGCGTATTTTGTGTCCATTCAACATCACCCAAAATCTTCCTCAAGAGTCCTCCGAGTGTCCTCCTTCTGAGAAGGAACTGTTTTTAGTCCTAGTCATCATTGGCTGCGTTCCATTCAACCTCTGGGTCATCATCTAAACGCAAAATGAGGTATGACAACAGCTGGAAGATATTCTGCCACAGGAGCAGGAACACATAGACGTAGAAGTCACTGACGTCAATCTGACAGTGGTCACCTGCAAAGCTCATCTCGCACACACACTGGAACCTGTTGATCAGGTTACGGCAGAAGCCTCCGTTAAGGCAGGGGTCAGATGCACATTCATCCAGCTCCAGCTCGCACCTGTCAAAGAAAATCAGTCATCTCAGATGGAGAGATTGACACAGTGAAGAGCCATCTTACGGCAGTAAGCAGAAAAAAACTAGGTTTGCCATTAAGTCTGATTGCTGAGAGAAAGAATAGCACACTTTTCATCAATAGGTTTTCACCTATTCACGTGCTATCACATAAATTGAACCTATTTTTACCATTGTCCAGTGAATCCAGGTAGACATTCACAAGTATCTTCTACAGAGGAGCAATTCCCACCATTGAAGCAACTATAGTTCCATCTCTCATTCCCACAGAAAGACACAGGCAGTTTAGGGAATCTAGAGAAAAATATGATAAAAGGATGAGGCTTGGTACAGACTTCATTTTTGACTTACTACAGGTCTGTTCTATTAATACTTCAGGCCCGTTCACACCAAGAATGATAACTATAAAGATAACTGTATTAGCATCCACATCAACGCACGATATCTTTATGTTTATTATAAGCGCACGCTGTAGTTAAGTTGTATGCCTATTTAAATGATCAAGCTCTTTAAAGCAGGATGGATTCTGATTGGCTGATCAATGTTTTTATCTTTTTAAATCAACTGTAAAATATTGCTATGAAAGTGATTCCAACAATATTGTTACTCTGTGCCATTATTGTTATAGGACTCTGTATACTTTTACATTTAGAGTGATTTAGAAACTATGTGCCCTATCACTCACCCGGCGCAATGTGGCGCCAGGCGCGACGCAAGTGTTTTTTGCTAGTTTCAGCCCGACGCAGTTAGCATTTTCACGTCCTGCGTTATGTTGTTTAAATAGCAAATGCATTTGCGGCCATTTGTGCGCCCATGGGTGTGCTGGTCTGAAAACGAGGTGTGTTCAGACGCATTGGTGGCGCGTTGCTATTTTTCAAATTAAAAAAAATAAATAAAATTTAGTAATTTTTCTAGCCAATCAGAAACGCCCTCTGCCATCAATTACTTTCCTTTTTCGGGCTGGCTAATATTGGTTAGCTGGGGTTTTCAAACATGTGAATGCCAAGGACCTCAAATATGATCACCCCCTTGTAAAGGACCATTTCTAAAATGTAAAGGCTTTGGCTTACAGCACCTTTTATGCATATCGTAAGAAGTCAAACTCACGGAAACCTGTCGATATACCATGGAAGTTCTGGAACTCTCTCCCTGAAATAGAAAAGGAATTTAACACGCAAATATCCAAGAATGTCAACATTTCAAGATATTGCAGAAGAACTTGTGTGCCGAGAGATGCATTGGAGGGGTGAGCATGGGAAACATCTTCACCTGCAGAAAGGTCCTGTCGTGTTTCTCGGACAGAGACATGCGTAGCGTTTCAGACCTCTTAGGCATGTTCCACCATTGCTGCACTTGTGGTGGGCGCATACGTCCACCACCATTTCACAGTGTCGGCCGGTGTAGCCCACATCACACGAGCACTCGTATCCTGCTGACACCAATCTGCAGGCTCCGTGAACACAAGGGTTTGAGGCACAAGTGTCTAGAGTCAGTTCACAGAGTTGGCCATCCCAATCAGATGGGCAATGGCACTTGAAAAGGTTGAACAGATCTTCACAAACCCCACCATTTTGGCACGGGTCAGGCTCACAGACATTAGATCCCCAGCAGCCAATGTAGGGAGTTTCAGAGGTTCTCAGAAAGTGCTCTTCCTGGGGCCTGGGAAGGTTCATCTCCATGTCGCTGTAATATGGCAATGCAAGGCCACTAATCTCCACCAAACCAAGACAGCCAGCGAAGTTGTCCTCCGAATTGGGTCCCAACCCCCCCAAGATGATGTCCACATCTTCTCTCAGGAAATCCAGATCTTCTGAGGCTGTAATTGAGATGGAGGGTTTCTCCCAGTGCTCATCCAGAACCAGTCTCCATCTGGATGACTGTAAGGCTGGGTTGTCCATGCTGAAGTCTGCCCTGTGCCACTTTCCATCACTAACCAGGTCCAGACTGTGTAAATACACATAGGGGGATTGTTCTTCTCCCTGCAGCTCTAAAACTACGTGTCCATCTTGGATAGAAATGGTAATAAATTGAGCATCCCGCTCAGCATGTAGTAGAGTGGTGTTCTGCTGCCTGGTACGGAAATGTATTGAAATGCTGCTGAGATATCGCTTTATTTTTCCATTGCCACGATAGGTGATTATGTGGCTGTCACTTCGGAGGCTGACGTTGACCACACCTGCAAAGCGAGCAGGAAAGAAGCATCAATCAACTCTTTACTAAAGATAATCTATTTCTCCAAAGCTCTTTCATTGCAAATATATAAATATATATATAACCAGAATGTACATATACATCCATGATTATGTTTCCATAAGCGACAACGTACATATCTTATTTGCCTTTAAAAGCTGTTTACAGTGTTTCACACTTTTTACATTAAAGTTTACTTATTTGGATTAAACACTAAGTACAAATAGCAATTTATACACAGTACCAGTGTTATTTTAGTATCATTAAGATACTATCATTGTTTATATATATACACTCACCTAAAGGATTATTAGGAACACCATACTAATACTGTGTTTGACCCCCTTTCGCCTTCAGAACTGCCTTAATTCTACGTGGCATTGATTCAACAAGGTGCTGAAAGCATTCTTTAGAAATGTTGGCCCATATTGATAGGATAGCATCTTGCAGTTGATGGAGATTTGTGGGATGCACATCCAGGGCACGAAGCTCCCGTTCCACCACATCCCAAAGATGCTCTATTGGGTTGAGATCTGGTGACTGTGGGGGCCATTTTAGTACAGTGAACTCATTGTCATGTTCAAGAAACCAATTTGAAATGATTCGAGCTTTGTGACATGGTGCATTATCCTGCTGGAAGTAGCCATCAGAGGATGGGTACCTGGTGGCCATTAAGGGATGGACATGGTCAGAAACAATGCTCAGGTAGGCCGTGGCATTTAAACGATGCCCAATTGGCACTAAGGGGCCTAAAGTGTGCCAAGAAAACATCCCCCACACCATTACACCACCACCACCAGCCTGCACAGTGGTAACAAGGCATGATGGATCCATGTTCTCATTCTGTTTACGACAAATTCTGACCCTACCATCTGAATGTCTCAACAGAAATCGAGACTCATCAGACCAGGCAACATTTTTCCAGTCTTCAACAGTCCAATTTTGGTGATCTCTTGCAAATTGTAGCCTCTTTTTCCTATTTGTAGTGGAGATGAGTGGTACCCGGTGGGGTCTTCTGCTGTTGTAGCCCATCCGCCTCAAGGTTGTGCGTGTTGTGGCTTCACAAATGCTTTGCTGCATACCTCGGTTGTAACGAGTGGTTATTTCAGTCAAAGTTGCTCTTCTATCAGCTTGAATCAGTCGGCCCATTCTCCTCCGACCTCTAGCATCAACAAGGCATTTTCGCCCACAGGACTGCCGCATACTGGATGTTTTTCCCTTTTCACACCATTCTTTGTAAACCCTAGAAATGGTTGTGCGTGAAAATCCCAGTAACTGAGCAGATTGTGAAATACTCAGACCGGCCCGTCTGGCACCAACAACCATGCCACGCTCAAAATTGCTTAAATCACCTTTCTTTCCCATTCTGACATTCAGTTTGGAGTTCAGGAGATTGTCTTGACCAGGACCACAGCCCTAAATGCATTGAAGCCACTGCCATGTGATTGGTTGAATAGATAATTGCATTAATGAGAAATTGAACAGGTGTTCCTAATAATCCTTTAGGTGAGTGTATATATACACTCACCGGCCACTTTATTAGGTACACCTGTCCAACTGCTCGTTAACACTTAATTTCTAAGCATCCAATCACATGGCGGCAACTCAGTGCATTTAGGCATGTAGACATGGTCAAGACAATCTCCTGCAGTTCAAACCGAGCATCAGTATGGGGAAGAAAGTTGATTTGAGTGACTTTGAACGTGGCATGATTGTTGGTGCCAGAAGGGCTGGTCTGAGTATTTCAGAAACTGCTCAGTTACTGGGATTTTCACGCACAACCATCTCTAGGGTTTACAGAGAATGGTCCGAAAAAGAAAAAACATCCAGTGAGCGGCAGTTCTGTGGGCAGAAATGCCTTGTTGATGCCAGAGGTCAGAGGAGAATGGCCAGACTGGTTCGAGCTGATAGAAGGGCAACAGTGACTGAAATAACCACTCGTTACAACCGAGGTATGCAGCAAAGCATTTGTGAAGCCACAACACGCACAACCTTGAGGCGGATGGGCTACAACAGCAGAAGACTCCACCGGGTACCACTCATCTCCACTACAAATAGGAAAAAGAGGCTACAATTTGCAAGAGCTCACCAAAATTGAACAGTTGAAGACTGGAAAAATGTTGCCTGGTCTGATGAGTCTCGATTTCTGTTGAGACATTCAGATGTTAGAGTCAGAATTTGGCGTAAACAGAATGAGAACATGGAACCATCATGCCTTGTTACCACTGTGCAGGCTGGTGGTGGTGGTGTAATGGTGTGGGGGATGTTTTCCTGGCACACTTTAGGCCCCTTAGTGCCAATTGGGCATCGTTTAAATGCCACGGCCTACCTGAGCATTGTTTCTGACCATGTCCATCCCTTTATGGCCACCATGTACCCATCCTCTGATGGCTACTTCCACCATGTCACAAAGCTCTAATCATTTCAAATTGGTTTCTTGAACATGACAATGAGTTCACTGTACTAAAATGGCCTCCACAGTCACCAGATCTCAACCCAATAGAGCATCTTTGGGATGTGGTGGAACGGGAGATTCGCATCATGGATGTGCAGCCGAAAAATCTGCGGCAACTGTGTGATGCCATCATGTCAATATGGACCAAACTCCCTGAGGAATGCTTCCAGCACCTTGTTGAATCTATGCCACGAAGAATTGAGGCAGTTCTGAAGGCAAAAGGGGGTCCAACCCGTTACTAGCATGGGGTACCTAATAAAGTGGCCGGTGAGTGTATATATAACAATTTAGTTTTATTTTATTTTATTTCAGTTAATGTTTATTTTATTTCAAGTAAAGTTTTCATTAAGATATATAAATATTATTATTAGCAATATTATTATTACTACTAATAATAATAATAGTTATATAAAATCAAATATAACAAAATTGAATATTTCTAAATAGTTATAATTATTAATATTATTAATAATAATTATTGTTGTTGTTAATGATAACAATAATAATAACAATATCAAATCAAATAGCTGAACAATTAGCTGAAACAAAACAAAAAACAAAAAAATATATATTTTTTTATTTCAGTTAATGTTTATTTGTAAGTAGGCTAAAGTTTTCATTGTTTCTTTATGGGAATAATTATAAAGAAATAATATACATTTAGTTATGCCAAGCCCTAAAATACTTTATCTAGTAGAAATTATGTGAGTAAAAAAATAAAAAAAATAAAAATCTTTATCCTTAATCCTTATTCAGTAAAACACAAAAAAATAGAAAAGCCATGGGACCTTTAATTATTGTTGTAAAAAAGACAATGGTGGTCCTGGAGCCAGAACGACTGGTCTAGAATTATAATTCACAATTCTTCTAGTTATGTTTTAGTCAGATGAATTTCCACAGGTCATCTCAAAGATGATTAAATCAAAAGGGATTTATAGGATCCTATGGGTGCTACCAGTTTCAGCAGGCATGAATAAACAGACCCCCTTTTTTCTTTTTACCTCCATAGTGTATGCCCTCAGCACCATATTAATTTCTGTGAGATCATGTGTGCATGTCATTAACACGCTTCATGCAATGCCTCAGGGCAGACAACATGGCAAATCCAACAAAGGATAATCTTTCAAGGCTTTCATAAATCCTCTAGTATATCTACTAGGGGTGTAACAATATATCGTGTCACAATATAACGGAATACAAAAATGCAACAATATGTATCGTGGATAGTGACAATGTGTATTGTGTATAGTTCACCAAAAATGAAAATGACAGTGTGAGAATTTTTTTTAAGTTTACGGAGTTTTGGTGTCAGTAATACATTAAAGTACTGTATAATGTTGAATATAATGTATAATAATGCAATGGGGGAATATTTGTGGGTCCTGATAATGCCAAATGTCTTAAGTTACCAGTAAAAAGTGGCCAACATTATTTTAAATATATCTACTCAGTGATAGAGTGCAAGCATATTCATCTAAAATAATTCTGTTTTCAGCTTCATAATCAAGAAAATTTGTATTCTGGTGTCACCATTGTCCTGTGCATTGGGTTACCAGCACCAAGTCCAAGCCTATTCATTTACACCCACAATGTAACACCAAGTTGAGCATTTTAATCAACAGTACATTTTTTGATAACCTTTTATGTCTTGGAGTATCGCCATTAATATATCGTGAGTTCAGTATTGTGATATGTATCGAATCGTGACACCCCTAATAGCTACACATGACAATTATCAATTATATAACTGAACTTGAGGATATGTTCCATAGATGTATTAATGCTTTTTTCCTTGGCGCTTTTACTCAGAAAAACAGTTCAGATAAGGACAACTGCTCTTGGGACATTTACATATTCATACTTACATTCAAAACCCTGAGTGTGTGCTTGACACATGGCAGCGGCGGGACATGGAGACAGCTCACACCACTTGACTTCCTCGCAGCGTTGCCCTGCCGTATTAGGTGGGCAACTGCATGTGAAATCATCCCACATGGAGTAGCACACACCTCCATTCAAGCAGGGATTGGTCTAGAAGAGAAACTCACAATCATTCATTACAGTACATACTGTCGTTTCATTCACATGTTAAATCTTGAAGAAGACTCTGCTGTTCTTCAATTTCACTTAATATTTGTTTGCTATTTTTAGGAGTGTTTCTCAAACTGCTGTCCACAGGCCCTTGGGGTCTGTCTCAAACAGCAAAATGGTCTAAAGCATCTTCCTGAATTACAAACACTGTGAATTATGTAATAATATATGAATATTTATCAAAGAATTCATAATATTTGAAGTTTACAAAATAGTCAAACATATTTCGAAAGTTAAGCCCATTTCTAAAAAGGTTTGGATCAAGCAAAGGATAATTATTCCAGAATTACGAAAATTCTGAATGATGTGATCATTCATAATACTACATGAACATTTTTATAGGATTCATAATAGTTTTAAAGTTTAGTTTAGTCAAGCACATTAAACATATTAAAGCAAATTTATAAAAGTATAACGTTAATCCAGAATTGTGAACATTGTGAATGATGTAACAATTCATAATACAATAATATTTATAAAATGATTCATAATATGAATAAAGTTGACAAAATATCAAAACGATTTAACAATTTTAGCACCTTTCTAAAAAGGTTTGGTTGAAGTCAAGTATCATTATTCCAGAATTTTAAATATTGTGAATGGTGTGATCATTCATATTACTTGAATATTTATGAAAGTTTTGCATACTTCTAAAAGGGTTTAAATGTGCACAAATTCTTGATATGGTTCAAGTCAAGCATTAATATTCCAGAACAGTGAGCACTCTAAATGATGTAAATATTCATCATATTTGAATATTCATTAAATCATTCATAATAGATACAAAATATTCAAACAAATATTGTTGCTGATTCTGACAATTGTTTATGCTAGGAAACCGTCTAAATAAGTTTTTTCCCCCATGCCCGTCCATTATTTCGGTATCGCCCGGCCTAAATGGCAAAATATACTATTACTGGTCACTTTTCATGTCGGCCAGATCAACCTTTCCTGTCAGTTGGATATTTTCTTATTCTAGAATAAGCTGGAAATTGGACCACAGTTTATAGCAGTGCCGTAATAGATCTGTAAACGTCTCTTACACTGCAGGAGTCGTCGCCCGTGCAGCCGCGTGTGACTTTCAGCAAACTCTGGAGCCTGTAGGAGCTCACCGGGACACTGACTGGGTAGAACTGCAGGCGTCTGCTATTCATACGGAGGTCTTGGATACAGCCCTTAAAGTATCCCCCAAAGGCTAGCGATGCACGGCGATCCGCTAAGCCTCCCACATGCACTGCGTCCCCAGCCTGGACCAGCACACGACGGATAGGGACGCGACCCTGGCTCTTGGCAGACATGAACAGGGACAGGGATTCGGGTTCCACAAGCACAGTTATGAGATGAAAGTGGCCATCGTTGACCGCTTCCCTTCCTAGCAGGCTTTCAAAGTTGTTGATTTGAACTTTGACCTTTCCATCGTCCAGCCAGACGCGGAGGTACTGACTGGTGCTGTTGGAGAGGACGAGGAGCAGCCCCTGTGAGCGGCGCGTGCGGACGAACATGGACACGGTAGTGCTGTCACCCGGGTCGTCTTCATCCACCCTGAACAGAGCGTGGCTCTCCAAATCTTCATTGCCAAACCTCGCAGCTACATACTCTACAAAATCAAATAGATCAGATGAGTGCATATTATAATAATGTGTAACAAACAAAATGGAACATTTCTAAATATAAAGTTATAATTATTAACATTATACAAAATATATCATTATTATCATTAGCAATTTTATTATTATTATAATTGTGATATCAAATCAAATATAACAAAATTGAATATTTCTAAAGAGTTATAATTATCAATACTATTTAAAATATAGTGTTGATAATAATAACAATAATGTTGTAAATAATAACAACAACAACAACAACTATAATAATCATCTAAATAAAATGTGACAGTCAAATGTAACAAAATGGAGAGAATTATTATTATTACAAATACATTAATTATTATTATTATTGTAATAATAATAATAAGACAAACAGTCAAATATGACAAAATTGAATATTTCTAAATGAAGTAATAATTATTCATATTATTCAAAGGGTTTGTATTTTTATTGTATAAATGTTAATATTATTTCAAATGTAATGTTACTATTATTATTATTCATTCTGCTAAAAATAATAACAATAATAAAAATAAAATGTAACAGTCAAATGCAACAAAATTGGATTTAATAATTGTTTATTGTAAAAAATATACTACAACAAAAAATGATTACAACAACCACAACAATAATAATACAAATATATGTAAAATAAATAACAATAAATACATTATTATACATATATTTTTCTTATTGTTGTGGTGGTTGTAATAATAATAATAATAATCATAAGACAATTATGACTGAATGGAATGTTTCCAAAAATAGAGTTCAATAAATATGTTCTGTCGAAAATATTTGTTTTCCTCACTGACAAAGATTTAAATAAATCACTGACGGCAGCTTTCTTGGCAGGATAGGTCTTATTTAAAGTTAGCATGGATTAAACACGCCTGTTTATATCACGTTTCTATAATCCACAGTTCAGGTGTGGCTGATTTTATCCTTCCCTTGGCAGTCCTTCTGCTTTGGCATGTTTACGTCTGGGTGTTTGTAGATGGCAGTTTCATTTAGCGCTCTAATCTCATTCTATGTCTTTGGACTAAATTTGACCCTCTGAGGGGCGCTAAATTTAGATTCTTTGCTGAGCAGTGACGTTGTTGTAGAGATAAATGGTGATCAGGAAAGATTGAATGTTCTTTTTAAATTATTTAAAATTGTATCTTGGTTAGAGCAGAAATAGGCTACTTTAAAATGTGTAGCTCAAACTACAGTATTTGCACATTTAAAGGGATAGTTCACCCAAAAATGGAAATTCGGTCATCATTTACTCCATCTCATGTCGTTCCAAACCTGTATGAGTTTCTTTCTTCTGTTGAACACAAAAGAAGACATTTTGAAAAATGTCTGTAATCAAACAGGTGATGGACCCTATTGACTTCCATAGTTTTTTTTTTCTTAGTTTGATTACAGACATTCTTCAAAATATCTTCTTTTGTGTTCAACAGAAGAAAGAAACTCATACAGGTTTGGAACGACACTTAAGCCACACTTAAAAATGTGTAAATGTCATTGCATATATCGAAATAAATGACAATTATTTTAAAGCAAGATAGCACAAGCACACTTTTCACTTTGCACAAAATTTAAGAAAGAAGTTTGTGTTGTTTTAAATGATACATTTTCAAACGAACACTTTCAGGTTTCACCATGAATGGATCATATGTTCATATATGTGATAAACTACACTCTGCTAGGGCAACTATGTGTCCATTCATACATTTAACATGTGATTTATGCCCTTTTACAAAGTCTTGATTTTGTTTTTGGGGTCTACTAAAATAGGATTTCATGCTTTATAGTCACCTCTATTCACAGTCTGTCAGTAACACTCTGTTTAGTTCCTGTCTCTATGAAGCCACTCCTTCTGAAAAGCACAATGTGCTCTGATTGGTCGGCTGCGCCAGTGTATTGTGATTGATCAACCGCTTAGAGCGTGTTTAGGAAATATCACGCCCCTTACAATAACTGTGCTTGGGCGGGAATTATTTAAATGAGGAATATTGTGAGGTGTACTTTCTCGCAAAAAACTCAAGACTACAATGGAGGCGTTTCAGGGAGTTCAGAAACAGTGCGAGCTGATACAGAGAATAACTCTCTTTCGAGCGACTTTGTGTTTTGTAACTTTGCAGACCTTTTTCATTCTCAAACAGCAACATTACACACTAAACTAAGTTGAAAATGCAAAAAAAGCACAATAGGCTTTTTAAACGAACAGTATTTATATAGTTTTTACCTCTTGTAACCACAGCCACGTCCAAGTGATCTGAGGGCGCCGGCGCTTCGGTCTGTGCAAGTGCCGGAAAGCGCCGGAAGTGATCTCTCGCGCGGTTGCGAAAAAAATTCAACGTTGTCTGTTGATATATCGAAATTGTCTTCCATTGCGATTTCCTGTATATCTAAATATGTTTAGATCTGCACAGTGAAAGGTAACACTTCCGAAATCTCTGTGTAAACAATGAGTGACGTACACGCGCGAGAGATCACTTCCGGCGCTTGCGCAGACCGAAGCGCCCGCGCCCTCAGATCACTTGGACGTGGCTGTGCGTTACAAGAGGTAAAAACGATATAAATACTGTTCGTTTTCTCACACAAACCGCTCGTTTCGTGTCTTAGGCCATCAATGTGTACTTACATTTACGAGTCATTAAATCATGTTTAATTTGGACTTCTCTGTGCATGCTCTTTGAGGTGGTGACCATAGACCTGCATTATATGACTGACAGACAAGAACGGTTTGACCTAAAAATATCAAAATTGAAACTACTGCGGAAACAAAGACACCTACATCTTGGATGCCCTTGAGGTAAGCTAAAACATACCAAAAATTAATTTCAAAGTGAACTATCCCTTTAAGTATCTAAATCCACAATTGTGTCTATTCTACATGAAGTCCAACCCATAGCTTGTTTACAAGTAAACTGGAGTATAATAATAAAAAAAGATCATACCCTCTAAACAGTTCTTGCCCTCATAAGGCCGATGACATTCACAGCTAAAACTCCTCCATCCTGTCTTGACACATCTGCCTCTGTTCTGGCATGGGTTTTCCTTGCATTGGTCCCAGTCACCGCACTCCTGTTTCACATTAAATTGCTTAATGGGAGCCCTCTGTCCCAATCCAGGCACCACTATGCGTGAATCCAACCACACATCCCGCATACATCCCAGCAAACTTGAACCAGCCCCTTGCTCTCCTCTTCCGCCAATGTAGAGATTCTGCATCACAGTCAACTCGGATAGACCTGAACCCAATTCGGGCTCTGCTTGACCTATCTGCACTTCCATGACACACAAGTCTCCAGGACAAGACGGGTCTCTAAGACTCAGCCCAAACATGCTGTTGTGCAGCGAGGCCTTCGCCGTGTGCCAGCGGCCATCGGAAACCATCGCTGGGAGCTCTAGAAGAACGCTTTCCGTGTCCTGGGCTCTCTGCAATGTATGCCGTAGTTTTCCATCCACTAACTCCAGCGTAAGAAGCTGATCTTCAACTTGGCACTGGAGCAGAGTGGCCACTTCCTGCAATGTGCGAAAACTCAGAGTGACATTCAAGGGCTCAAAAGCGTCAGTGAGGATGGTCTGGACCTGGATAAATCCACTTTCTTCAAAAGAGAAAGTGGTGGACGTCTGGCACTTTGTTCCAGTGAAGCCCTCAGGGCAGATGCAGCTGTATCGATGTCGTCCTTTGTCCAGGTATGGATGGCAAGTGGCACCGTTCTGGCACCAATGACGCTCACAGCCCAGCAGGACTACCATGCAGTTCGGCCCCCCATAGAGGTGTCCATTATAGCTCTCTTGGGAACATTGACATTTGTATTGTCCATCCTGATTCACGCACACACCACCATTCATGCACGGGTTTGTATCACACCCACTGGAGACTCCTGAGGCAGAGAAGAAACAAGTTTCAAGACTTTGCATGAACATAATCAATACTGGTTGACTTCATAACTGACTTGGAGAAATCACATTCACTCAAAAATGGAAATTATGTCATCATTTACTCATCCTTGATGTCGTTACAAACCTGTATGACTTTATTCTGTGGATAACATCAGAAGATTGAAAACATTTGCAGCTGTTTGAAAGTCACTGGTGTCCTGTGATGTTTTGGACCCCATTTACTTTCATTATATGGATATAAAACATTGAGACATTTTTTGGACTATCATCTTCATGAGTCATGCATGTTTGGACCGACATGAGGATGAGTAAGTGATAACAGAATTTTTGTTTTTAGGCGAATTACACCTGTTTTCCCGTTACACATTATGTTTCTGGACATGACAATTTGAGAGAAAATTGTCAAGAAGAATTTCAGATTTTCGTAGTATTTGGTATGTTCTTTTGCTAATGACAGCATCACTGTAAAAAACAACTTTCATTTTGTCAAAGAAAGACTATTTTAGGCTGATTGAACTTGAATTTAGAAAAAGTTCTAAATTAAATATAGTCAACTTATAGTATAAAATATTAAATAGCATGTGATTTTGCTCAAAGCATGGGGACTTACTATGACATAAATATTTCAATTAGTATACAAAATAAAACATTTCTACATCACTATTATATAATGTTAATGCTCAGCTTAACTTAAAATGACTATTGAACTTGGATTCACCAGTAAAAAACATTTATGTTTTTAGTTTATCGAAATTATTATATTATGTTTGATAAAGGAACAGACCAACTTTAATTGTTAAGTTGATAAAACAAAAAGTATAATCAAAAAAGTTTTCTCAACTTATGATTTTCTTTACATCTTTTATGCTGCATTAAAAAAAAAATCATGTTCTTCAGCATGATTTGAAAATCATCCAGAAAGCATCTTGAGTTCTGATGGAAGCAAGACAATCACATACATCTCCAAGACACACATGTTAAAATGTGAGTATTGATGCAAGAAAAGCATTATGCATTCTTAAGACTTATTCCACAGGCCTATAACAATAACCATCAACAAAAAGTACGAACAAGCAGGTTTCTAATGGTATCCAGAACTATCCCACAAGATACAACTGTTATTACCTGCATACAGCAACAGTATCATCCAGAAAGATATGGCCGCACTTGACATGATTTTAGTTGTAAACAGACAGGAAACCTAAAACAAGCTCTGAAGAAGACAGGGCAGCTTCGTAATACACCATTACCGCCAGAGACTTCCTTAGCTCGTCTTCATTCATCTGTGTTTAGGACTGACTGGCTTCGGTGGGTTCACAGCAAGCCGTGGGATTATGGTAATGCACTTACATGTGTAATGAACTGGTGTGAAGCCAGGGACAGGATAGGTCCCAAAGGCTAATCTGAGAGACTCACGCATCCACACCTTATGGACTTCAAATGCAGCTCTCTGATAAGACAGATCTAAATGCAGTTATTAACTAAGGCATTTTTCTTTACACCGCTGAGTTAAGGTTGCTCTGTGCCTGCTCAAAATTCTGTGTAAAGATGCAATACATAAAAGACAGACTAAATTATGCCTGCTCTGACCCGCCTAAACACAGATAACATGTCTGTCTAAATGCATTTATGCCACCTAATTGCCTTCTGTGCTGTGCTTTGCAGAGTAAATTTGCCATTAGACCGTAGAATTTATAAAGCCATCATCCACTATTTAGATTTGAATGAAGATTATTATGATACGAGTTGGTGAACGCGGTGGACGCTCCAATCAGAAAAAAAAAGTTAGACTTTATGGTTAAAAATAACCATAAAAGGTAGGCCCACAGAATGTTATTTTGCAACAAAACGGTTTACTGGCATAGGGTGGATATTCTTAATGTTTCTCGGTTGAAACAACATTACCCTTTTACCTGCTGCGCTGCGACAAAGTTGGAATCAGAAGCGTGTTAGAAAAAAATAGCCTTGAACACCGGCGTGACTCGCGAGACAGAATCCATACTGTAAAGAAACTAAAATATTGCATAACATTTGGTCACTGTATAGGCCAATTCGCATATAAAATGTGTAAAATAATAAATGATGTTCGAACTTTTGACTGGTCGAACTTTTGTTAATATTTACAATTTTATTTATTTATTTATTATTATTATTCATCGCCTAAATAACATAGGCTACGTATTTACATTGAAAACATAATATTTAATAAATATTTATAATCCAATTAAATATTATGTATATAATCATTAATAGATAATAACTGCCCTTGTGTGTGCATTTCTGAACTTGAAGCAGGGATTTCTATTCACCAAATAGGCAACTACATTACCCATAATGCTACGCGTCTTATGGACTGTCGTTGCACGTTCATTGTAATATATATTATTATTATTATTTATAAATGAAAATAATCCATTATCAACTTTCATTCAATTACAAGTTATACATAGGAGTTATTATCGGTGGATGAATTCGCTTTATATGTAAACCAATGAAACAGGAAGACGTTTCGCCTTTAGCCAATGACAAAACAGCTTGTTGAGACGTCGGAGCCCTGGACGATGGAAAAAGGACACACTTCGCGTCTTATAATCTTATAATTTTGTTTGTTTGTATACAAAGGCAAAACAATACACCTCTTCAAAACACCACCGCATGTTTAATCTTTTTAAAGGTAAGACCGGAACTGAGAAACAAGTCGCTCTTCGTAGTTTGCCATGGGCCATTTTAGGGTCGTTTGTCAACGCACTCCTGTTGTGGAGGGGCCCTGTGGGAGCATGACATAATGGGGGGCCGTAAGGGGTAGTTCACTTCAGATTTGCATTGTTCTTATTTGAAGTGCACTAGATTTATGAATGTATGTACAATGTAATGCATACTGACAGTGTTGTAATGTGTTTGTTTCGTTTATGTCATTTTCCTCACCCAGTGCAAGACTGCACGCAAAACGTCATGATATATGACACTGTCAATGCTTCGTTCTGTCTGAAGTTACTAACTCCACATATAGTTTCGGCGTGTGACATGATTAAATTATTTTGACAACTGAAAGCGCTGGTAAATGCATAATCAACTATAATCGTTTATTCTAAATTTGCTCCAGCATGGGACAAAATATGCCCCATAGTTTTTCTAGCTATTAGATTTTTGTTGTTGTTGTTTCCACTTTGAAATGAACCAGATATGATCTCTATGATGTACTTAACACAAATGTGCCATTTATTTGTATTTAAAATGTATTTATTTTTTGTTTTGACATTTATATTTCCATTATAATGTATGTGAAAGTTTGAATAAATAATAGTAATTATTTTTTAAATAATCATAGTATATCCTGCAAAATATGGTTTTCAATAGATGGAGGCCATGTGAAACCATCATATATTGTTAATTTGTTTTTATGAGTCATTCTGAATGACTAGATTTAGCAATGTTCATAATGCCATGACAGCACACTTTCTAAAAATTGTAATACATTATCATTTTGTGAAAAAAAGCAGCAGGTTGTACTCCAGTGTAATACAATACCTATAAACAGATTAATGCAAAATAGTTCAATGCATAAATATATATTTTTTACCCCAGTTTTGCCCAAGTACTAAAGAATCAGTGTTTGTGCACTGTAAGTCTGTTTTTCAGCTCTAAAAATGGAAGTTTTGTGTTGAAACCTGTAAACATGAAGAAGAAAGTCAGTCCGTCCCAGCAGTCAAAAGTGAAGGATATCAGTTGCACAGAAACACAGGAGACAATATGTGATGGACCAACGGCGTGTGATGCCAGCAGCGATGTTGACGTGGCCAATAAAGATTCTTCGCAGGAAAAGAAGCATCTCCAAATATCCCAAAGTGATGCCTGTTTCCTGAAGTTCTTGAACGAAGACCGTCAGAAACTGCCATCATTCTGTGACATGACTCTCATGGTCAGTGGGAAGATGTATCATGCCCACAAAGTGGTTTTGGCTTTTGGCAGTGGCTATTTTCATGCCAAATTCAGTGAAAACCCCGAATTGCACCATGTTACCATTGATAACATAGAGGGCTCCACCTTTGGACACTTGCTCAACTTCCTGTACACATCTGAATTTGAAGTTTCAGAGAGCCAGATTCCTGCTCTGACCGAGGCTGCCTGTTTTCTGGATATGATGGAAGCTGTAAATCTTTTATCAAAGTGGGTGACACCAGCTCACGCTGATGAAGATAGTGATGTTCAGCGAGTTCCCCAGGAGACCCCAGATGTCCCGCATGTCCAAACTTCAGTAGGAGCCAAGTGCTCCTTTTGCAGTCGCACATTCTGCTACAAGAAGTCTCTGGAGAATCACCTGGCCAAGACGCACAGCGCTGGTTGCCATGTTGAGGAAGAGCAAAACATGGCTAGCACATCTGCGGTCACTACCCGCAGATCTGGCCGTCAGAGGAGGACCCCTGCTAAATTTGAGAGCCAGGAGAGCGGAAATGGCCACACCCTGTCTGGAAAACCCAGTCAGAAAACTCCAAAGGATGACGATGCTGCCTTTGAGGAGCAGGAGGAAGAGGATGACGAAAGTGAGGAAGAGCAGCAGAATGAGCAGGGAGAGCAAAGTAGTAAGGAGGGGCGAGAAGAAACCTCCAGTGCTGTGGAGGTGGAGGAGGCAGAACGTGAAGACGGTGAGAAGCAAGAGGAGGAGCGTGTGGCTGAACTCAGTGAGGCTGGAGAGCAGACTGAGACCCAGAAGGAGGCCGGACCGAGATCCACTCATGCTGTCGAGGAGCAAAGCCAAGCGACCGAGGTCACCGCTCATGTCTTCCCAGAGGGACTGGCTCCCGTTGTGGTCCAGAGCGCTAACAAAAAGACTCTAAAGTGTCCCAAATGTGACAAGACCTTTGATCGCATAGGTGAGAACCGTAAAGGCTGACGGATGTAATCTCTTATTTTATTTAACAATACATTAATAATGCAGTTCAAATATATATTATTACAGTTTAAAACTTAATTCAATAACTATTTTCGGTAACACTAGTTTAGGGTCCAATTCTCACTATGAACTATTTGCTTATTAGCATGCATATTACTAGGATATTGTCTGTTTATTAGTACGTATAAATCATATTAATGCCTTATTTTGCATGACCATATTCTACATCCCTTAGTTAATCCCAATAGCTAAACTACCGTACTAACTATTAATAAGCAGGAATTAGGAGTTTATTGAGGCAAAAGTTGTAGTTAATAATTAGTTAATAGTGTGAATTGGACCCTAAACTAAAGTATGACCCTATTTTATATTAGAATATGTTTTAAAATGTAATTTATTCCTGTGTTCAAAGCTGAATTTTCAGCATCATTACTCCAGTCTTCAGTGTCACATGATCCTTCAAAAATGATGATTTGCTGCTCAAGAAACATTTCTTATCATTATCAATGTTGAAAACAGTCGAGCTGCTTAATGTTTTTGTGAAAACGGTGATATTTATCACTTTTGGTCAATTTAATGTGCACTTACTGAATAAAAGTATTACGTTTAAAAAAAAAAATGCTACCGACCCGAACCTTTTGAATGGCTGTGTGCATAATATGACGTGAATACACCTCTTCTATGATGAGCGTGTTTTTAGTTTATTAATTAAAATTTATACGTGATATTTTTGACCATAAAGTCAAAAATGCCAAGGCAATACATCTGACTGTCCTGATATCATAAGGAAGGAAGCAGTTTGCATTTCTTTTAGTATTATTTGACTAAAAAATTTACAAAAAGAAAAAGAAAGATTAATGCCATTTTGTTGTTAATGAAATAGCTTTGTCTGAATCACTGCTTTGCGTTTCCTCATTTTGTAGGTAAATACGAGAGTCACACCAGAGTACACACTGGAGAAAAACCTTTCCAGTGTGACATCTGTCTTCAGTGCTACTCCACCAAATCAAACCTCACGGTGCACAAGAAGAAACATGACAGTGATACGCCCGTCCAGAGGAAAGAGCACAAATGTCCCTTCTGCAACAAGCTTCACGCCAGCAGGAAGACTCTCAGCAGACACGTGAAGAGGTGAGCGGGCATCCCGTCCCAATCCTAAAGATTTCACTGAACATGACAAACAAAACACAAAAATCAGAAGAAAGAAGTCATTATTTTGCATGAAGAAAGTCAAGCCTATTTCATGACCATTAAGTCAAGTCAAGTAAAAATGTATTTATGTAGCACCATTTATACAGACAGGCTGACCAATGTGCTTTACAAAACTATATAATATCACACAACAGACCGAGCAAGAAAAATTAAAATACAGATTACACATTATTAAAAGCATTAAGATTGTTTTTGCATTGTGACCATTTCTAAGCCACAATTTCTTCCAGTAAGCTTTTAAAATTATTTTGGTATCCACATATGTATGTACTGGTGAAACTCGAAAAATTCGAATATCGTGCAAAAGTTCATTTATTTCAGTAACTCAATTTACAGCTTATGAAAACCCCAAATTCAAAATTAGAATATTGTGAAAAGGTTTTCATAGCTGTAAGCCATAATCATCAAAATTATAACAAATAAAGACTTGAAATATCTCACTTTGCATGTAATGAGTCTATATAATATATTAGTTTCACCTTTTAAGTTGAATTACCTTTTAACTTTTACACCATATTTAAATTTTTTGGGTTTCACCTGTATGCCTTTGGTGTGCAACTGAACTAAACAACAAAATCTGAATAATTTATTAAATCTTAGGTAGGCTCACAGAGAAATCTTAAAACGGCCTGGACATTTCAAGCAAGTGATTCTGGTTCACAGTCGCTGATTCAGCCAGTTTGAATAATAGAGAAAATGAATCATTCTCTTGTTATGTGTCACTATTTGTACCGCAAAGAGAATGGACAAAAAGAAAGAAAACCAGAGGGTTATGTGACGTGGTCAGACACAAGATTATAGCCAAGCATGGACAATCTCAAGGTTGCAAGCACATTTCCTGTTCTCACCACACATAATGTTATCAAGAAATTGAATGCCCATGGCGCTGTAGCCAACCCCGTGAGAGAAACCTTGATGCAAGATTGCAGCAAAAAATAGCTGACATCTGCCAACTGCCACACACATTCAAGCCGTACGACAGTTTCAACTCGCTGAAACAGGTTCAACTCAAAGACAGGAGAGCCAGGAGAACCCCACTGACATAATAAAGCCTAACTGCAATTTGCGCTTGAACATGCCAAAATATTTCTGGGAGAATGTCTTGTGGACAGATATTGTGACTGATATTACCCCAACTTTGAGAAAAATGTGAATTTCAAATTATAACATATGAATGAATTACCATGGACAATTTGGAAATGTGTGTTCTTAACTGTCATTAAAATAATGTTTAAAAATAATCCTAAAGTCATCAAAATGGTATGGAAGCTTGTTTCCGCCACGGAATAAAACAGTTCAAAAGATAATTGCGACTTTTTATCTCACACTTCTGACTTTTTTCTCACAATTGAAAAAAAGTCAGAATTGTGAGATATAAACTTGCAATTGTGATGAAAAAATTTAGAAATGTGAGATAGACAAAGTCGCAATTAGTTTTTTTGTGTGTTTTTTTCAGTGGTGGAAACTTCCATTAAATGGGCTTCATTTTCTTCATGTAAAATAGCATTTAATATCATGAAATATGACTTAAATCAGAACAAGAAGTTGGTTCATACCATCTTTTCGAGGTATGACTGAATACAAAGGAAGATATTTGGAAGAATGCTGGTAACCAAACCATTATAACCATTATATTTTTTGACCATACAATGGAAGTCAATGGGACCAACTTTCCCTCTTTCTGACTGCTGTATTTCATTTCTCCATATTTTCTCCTCTTTTGGACAGTTGTGGAAACACTATCATGGATTTTTTCTTTTCCTACTGAAGAATTATATTTGCTGTAGTCCCACATTTACCACTTTACAAATTCACCCATCTATGATGACTTCCGCTTCTAAGAATCCTGGAGATTGGTTGCATTATGTTTCCTGTTCAGTTTATTCAGTCATCTATTGGAGAAACGTGTTTTGCAAAGTCACTTGCTGTAGTTTCCAGTACATCTTCTGAACTGTTGTTTTGGTGACGAAATGCTTTGTTACCTTGCCTTTGTATGTGACCAAAGTCCAACACATTGTCTGCTTACAGATTTCACCCTGACCACCTCCAGGAGTTTCTCACTCAGAAGAAGAAGAAGAGTGAAGGCTGGAAATGTGACGTGAGTCATTTGCCTTAATTATTTGTATACACTACATTCAAATGACCACAAAAAAAGCTGACGTGAAATTCTGTTTGCATACAATTTAACAGTTGCCTGTGTCATTTCTTTAACATTGCTGCTTTTGCAGATCTGTCACAAGTCCTTCAGTCGACGTCCCCATCTGGAGGAGCACATGATCTTACATTCACAGGACAAACCCTTCAAGTGTGCCTACTGTGACGAGTACTTCAAGTCACGATTTGCCCGGTTGAAGCACCAAGAAAAGTTCCATTTGGGTAAAGCTTTACCTTTCTTTTTTGTGCTAATAAACAGCACCAAAAGTGTTTCACCTGTAATGGACCCAGAGAATTTCTTTAATGTTGACAAAATGTCCAATATCCAGGACCCTTTCCTTGTGACATCTGTGGCCGTCAGTTTAATGACACAGGGAACCGCAAACGTCATATAGAGTGCACACATGGGGGGAAGAGGAAATGGACCTGCTTTCTGTGTGGCAAATCGGTCCGTGAGAGGTAAGAAGCTGCTGTTATGCTCTAAACACTGATATTACCAAAACTGTATGCCAGTGCGATAATGGTTGCATGTTTTACTCAGCTAATCTTTGAACATATTTTCAGGACAACCCTCAGAGAGCATCTGAGGATCCATAGCGGGGAAAAACCTCACCTGTGCAGCATCTGCGGACAAAGTTTCCGTCACGGAAGCTCCTACAGGTCTGTGAGAGTGCCGAGATACTACATACAAGAAACATGGTTCACACCCCCAAAGAAAAGAATATGTGCAGATGAATAGTTAAGCAAGCTTATAGAACTTTAATTGCCTAAATGCACATCTTCTGTTTTTGAAGGAAGTCTCTTATGCTTACCAAGGAGGCAAAAATATTGTGAAATATTATTACAATTTATAAGAACTGTTTTTCTATTTGAATATATTTTGAAATTTTGTGATCAAAGCTGAATTATTCAGCATCATTACTCCAGTCTTCAGTGTCACATGATCCTTCAGAAATCAGTCTGATATGATGATTTGCTGCTCAGGAAACATTTCTTATTATCATCAATGTTAATATTAATCAGTTGTGGAAAAGTTCAAAACAAGAGCATTTATTATGTTAAGTATAATGCATCATTGCTGAATGAAAGTATATACTTTTTTTTTCTTTTTCTTTTTTAACTAACTGTACTAACCCTAAATATTTGAACAAGATTAAAAGTAATTGGATAGGACAGTTTTATTTATTACCAGTGTTGTTACCTGTTGTTGTGTCTATATTTTAGACTTCACCTTCGTGTTCATCATGAGGACAAGCGCTATGAATGTGAGGAATGTGGCAAGACCTTCATTCGCCATGATCATCTAAAGAAACACAAAAAAATTCATACAGGTATTTTTCAAAGTTGCATTTTTGATTGTGGTCTCAGAAACCCCAGATATAAATTTGAACATACTATGATTTCACATGTTAATGTAATTCAAGGTGGCATCATTTCGACATCTGTTTGTCAGCCATAATGTGATGCCTTAAATGTCTAGATGGATGACTCACTAGGATTTAAAACTGTCGACCTCCCCCCAAAAAATGTACATCATCATTTACTCACCCTCATGTCGTTCCACACCTGTGTGACTTTCTTTCTTCTGTGGAACACAAAAGAAGATATTTTGAGGAATGTTGGTAACCAGAGAGTTTTGGTTCCCATTAACTTCCATTGTATGGTCAAAAAATATAATGGAATCAATGGGACCTGACACTGGTTACCAAAATGTTTATTTTCGAATGCCCCTCATTTCGGACTATCCCTTTAAGGCCAAAAACAGTGAAATCCACCTTAAAACTATTAAACTAACCATATGAGATTCTTCATCCTGCTCATGACTGCTTTATGTGCTCTATAAGTGTGTATGTAGGATTATAGTCTTGTAACATTTGTTTTGTGTAGGCGAGAGAGCGCACCAGTGTGAAGAGTGTGGAAAATGCTTCCGACGTGCCGATCACCTGACTGTCCATTATAAAAGCATTCACCTGGGAGAGAAGATCTGGCGAAGGCATGTACACACACACACACACACACACACATGATTTCAGAAACAAAAACATAGTTTATGAGATGATACATGCGGTCTTTGTTATGCAATACAAAATAATCCCCGCAGTTGATGTTGGTTGTGTGAGATCTGTGATGTCATGATCATGTGCTGTAATTTGACAGGTATAAAGCAGTAGTGCATCAGTGTCAGGTGTGCAAGAAAGAGTTCAGGGGGAAGACCAACCTCATGTCACATTTCAGAACGCATTCAGGTAAAATACGCTACCATTTAAAAAGATTGTTTTGAGGAGAGAAATGAATACTTTTATTAATTCAGACAAAACATCAAACAGTTATCATACATTGTAAAAAAAACTTTACAATATTATGGTTTTTACTGTCCTTTTGAGCAAAAAATGCAGCCTTGGTGAGCATTATAGACTTCTTTCAAAAAGATTTAAAATTCTTACCGACTTCAAACTTTTTGACCTGTAAATCTCTAACGGCAAATTTGTGGCATTTCTGCTACACAGTTTTTTTCTGATCCGACATTTCGCTGTCCTCAGGTGAGAAACCCCACCGGTGTTTGATCTGTAACCAGACCTTCCGCATCAAGAAGACTTTGACCAAACACATGGTCATCCACTCAGACGTACGTCCTTTCAACTGCCCGCACTGCAGTGCTACCTTCAAGCGTAAGGACAAGCTGAAGTACCACGTGGACCACGTTCACAGCGCCCGCCTGCTCGACCAGCAACAGCAGAACATGCCTGTGCCCCCCGCTAGCAAGCTGACCGAGCCGTTGCCGTCAAACCAAACACCCAAACCATACCACAACACGTCTAAGACTGTGCTGCAGAGTGTGGCGGCTGATGTCTGCGTTCCCGTCACACTCGTCCCCGTCCAGATGACTGAGGACACGGTGCACGGGGCGGCACATGGCGTCCTTCCAGCTGTGAGCCAGCAACCGCAGACAGGCTACCAGTCCGCCACTGACCTAGTGTTCTTAGAGAAGTACACCCTCACGCCTCAGCCCACCAACATAGTGCACCCGGTGCGGCCGGACCAGATGCTGGACCCTCGAGAGCAGTCGTACTTGGGCACACTGTTGGGACTGGACTCGGCTTCATCTGTACAAAATATGTCTAGTGCCGAACATACTCATTAATTCGCAGCACGTCAATGCTATTACACACATGTTGTTCTTCACATGAATTCCTCTTTGTCTCTTTGTGCTGTTCTTAAAGGCATTGTTCACTCTAAAATGCATTCACTATTGTAATTCAAAGCAGAAAATAGTTTGGAACGACGTGACGGGGAATAAATTATTGCGTGAACTATTCCTTTAATATTGATGTAAACCGCTAATAATGAATTGAGGATTCTATCGTCCACATACATTATAAACTTTGACTCTAAATGGAATCTGTGTGTACATGTCTCCTTTATAAGCCGATTGTGTTGATATTCTGACAGATAACTGCAGTGCCGATGAGTTATTATATTCGTGTCAAATCTTCTCAAGTAATTCACCACCCCTAACCAAAGTCAATGATGAAATCAGCGCACAGCTCTTTTGCTTGTGTTCTTGTAAATAAAGCACTCTGGAACTCTGAGTTCAGGAAGTGATTTTATACTGCTTGTTCTAGTCGTTTGTTGTGTTTTTCTTTTTTTGTCTGGTTGTTCAGTCACATGGTGGGATGTTGGAAAAAAGTTTTAGAAACAACAATTAGGCTATGACCACTTTCTTTGGGAAACCAGTTTTATACAGTTTGCTGTATGAATCATTACATCTGTTTAAACCTGTACAGCCTGAAATAGGAAATAATGGTCTGAAAAATCCTTTACAATTTTAATAAAATATGTATGGATAATCAAGTAGGCCTACACCTAAGTTGATTCAGTCCAGTAAGTGTGTGAGGGACCAAGCAGTCAAGGAATGAGGGCCATAGAAATATTTCCCAAAACCATATTTTACTAAATCAAAGAAATCATATACAAAGGATTCAAAAGGAAAACAAAGTCCAAATAATCAAATCAAATGTTTAGGCCTATAAAAGAGATTAAAAAAAAAAAACTAAACTCAAACAACTGAGTACGTGAGAAGACAAACTAAACTGATCTACAAGTTAAACAGCAGGGACACATTTATACAAACGGACTAGTCCATATTAACACATAAGGGAAGACAAAAACAACAAACTTCACAATACAATAACAAAATCAATACCAAGGCCGGTTACATAATTATCCTATAAATTAAGTGCATATCTTAACACCAATAATAAATCTAAGGAAAAGTACAAACGATTAGAAAAGACAATACCAACACAAACCCTTCGACTCCCCCCACAATCAATCTGCTGGTTGGTAGCGGCAAGCGGAACTAAAAATAGCAGTTGAAGCGGTATGCCGGCCCTTAATTCGCACGGACCACAAACGAAACTGGCGATCACCATCCGAACGCGATCACCATCCGAACCCTCCAACCATCCACTCCTCAGCAACACAGCGGTAACTTAAACTCAAAGAAAGCAATATTAATAAATGTGTGTACTGTAACTCAAATAAATCTTAATGACAAATAAACAATGTCTGCATCTTATTGCCAAATAAATATATGAACAGAAACCATTGAGGGAATGAGTAAAACCAAAGAATGTGCAGGATAATTTCCAAGAAAATCTGAGTTATGAGTGTTAGCATATATGTGTGCGACATCACCGTTCACTGATGTGTGGCTGCATCGGGGCCATCACATACTCCTCCCCTTCACCAATGTCACTGGCACAGCGGGAAAGGTAGTCCGCCGTCAAGTTCTCTCTGCCAGGGACATGTTGAATAGAGAATCGAAAGGGCTGCATGGCCAAGTACCAACGGGTTATTCGACTGTTGGTGTCTTTCATTTGTTGAAGCCACTGCAGAGCCTTGTGGTCCGTCTCCAGGACAAATTCCCTTCCCATGAGGTAATATTTCAGGGAGTCCAACGCCCATTTCACAGCCAAACATTCCTTCTCCACGATGGAATAACGGACTTCCCAGGGGAAGAGTTTGCGACTGAGGAACGCAACGGGCCGCCGAGCATCAGGAGCCCCTTGCAACAATACCGCGCCCAGGCCTCTATCCGAAGCATCCGTCTGGAGAATGAAAGGCTGGTTAAAGTCAGGATTATGCAAGGAAGAATTCCTGCTTAAGGCGGTTCGGATGTCCTGAAATGCTGCTTCCGCTTCTTGCGTCCATCTGACCTGATTTGGACATTTTGAACCGACCATATCAGTCAAAGCTGCAGCTCTGCCAGAGAAATTGGTGATAAATTTGTTATAGAACCCAGCCATGCCCAGGAATGATCGCAACTCCTTGCGAGTCTGTGGCCGTGGACACATCTCAATGGCCCGGACTTTTTCCACCTGTGGCCTGATCACCCCACCCCCAATGACAAATCCCAGGTATTGAGTCTCAGTCTTTGCCACAGCACATTTGTGTGGGTTAACAGTCAACCCAGCTCTCTGAAGACGCTGCATAACCTCCTGGATGTGTTGCAGATGTTGCTCCCACGTGTCGCTGTAAATCACAATGTCATCCAAACAAGCAGCTGTAAAGGTTAACCCCCGTAATACCTGGTCGATGAGTCTTTGGAAACTGGCAGGTGCCCCGTGCAATCCGAAAGGAAGGACCTTAAAATGAAATAAACCCAATGGGGACTTGAACGCCGTGAGCTCTCTGGACCGGCGGGTCAATGGAATCTGCCAGTAACCCTTTGAAAGGTCGATGGTAGTCAGGAATTTGGAGTTACCCAGGCGATCTGTAAGGTCACCTATCCGTGGAGTGGGGTAGGCATCAAATTTTGTCACCGAATTGAGGTAACGGAAATCTATACAAAATCTCATTGTGCCATCTTTTTTTGGAACAAGGACCACCGGATGGCACCACTCACTCTTGGATGGCTCTATGATCCCCAGCCTCAGCATCAACTCCACCTCCTCCTTTAGTGATTCTTGGAGACGCTCTGGGACCCTATAGCTCATTCTTCTCACAACTGCATCAGGCTTCAACTCGATGTCGTGTTCAATTACAGTTGTGAACCCAGGGTATTCTGAGAAAACCTCAGGTAAGCAAAGGGCCCTCACTTCAAGTTGCCATTGGGGTGACAAGTGATCCAAACTAACATCTCCTACAACTGGCTGGGGTAAGTATTGGTCATCCAGTTCCTCTTCTTCCTCCACCTGCCTAATCATCAGGCTCTGTGCGCTCTGATCAGGACGAGGAACCCATTGCTTAAGGAGATTAATGTGCAGAATTCTTGCCGGACCGTCTTGGCCTGACATGGAAATTTCATAGGTGGTTGGCCCAAGTTTCCTTCTGACGTCAAACGGGCCTTGCCATCTCGCCAGCAGTTTACTTTCAGTACTGGGCAGCATAACCAGTACCTTCTGACCTGGGTCAAAACTTCGCTCACGTGCAGACTTATCACACCAGGTTTTCTGGCGGGTTTGCGCCTCAGCCAGGTGAGATTGGGCCAATTCAGTCATCCTCGCCAAGCGCTCTCGCATCTGCACCACATAGGACACCACATTCATCGGCTCATCCCTTTTCTGGTCTCCCTCCCATATTTCTCGAAGCAAAGCAAGAGGACCTCTCACCTCATGCCCATATAGAAGTTCAAATGGGGCAAAACCAGTAGACGATTGTGGTACCTCTCTATAGGCAAACAGAAAATAGGGGAGCCATTGGTCCCAGTCTTTCCCGGAATCCGAAACAAACTTGCGAAGCATCTGTTAAAGGGTCTGGTTAAACCTTTCGGTTAGCCCATCTGTCTGAGGATGGTAAGGGGTTGTTCTTAGACTCTTGATGCCCAGTAGTTTATATGCCTGTTTCAAGAGGGTAGACATAAAGTTAGTTCCTTGATCAGTCAAGATCTCACAAGGAAACCCAACTCTAGAGAACAATTGCACCAGACAGGTCGCCACATACTTGGCTTTGATGGACCTCAAGGGGAACACTTCTGGATATCGGGTAGCGTAGTCAGTTACAACAAGCATAAATCGGTTACCTGAGCGACTTCTTTCAACAGGTCCGACTACATCCATTCCCAGTCTTTCAAATGGAGTGCCTATGATCGGAAGTGGTTGAAGAGGCACCCGACATGGGCCACGGGCAGAGACCTTTTGACATTCGGGACAACTTCTGCAATATTGGGTCACCTCTGTTTTCAGGCCAGGCCAGTAAAAGTGTCTTCTAATCCGAGCGAGAGTCTTACCTTTCCCCAGGTGGCCAGCCCAGGGAATCGAATGGCCCAGGATCAGAATAACTTTACGGACACTTTGTGGCACCACCAGCTGTATCGTCAACCCTACCCGACGATAGAGTATCCCCTGTTGAAGATAATAGCTTTCCCTTGTGAGGTCACCTTCAATATTCTCTGAATCCTCTTGCTCTGCCCGCTCCAGATAAGGAACCAGACTGGCATCCTCCTGTTGTAACTGAGCAATGTTAGTAGGCAATTTAAAGTCTGGGGAAAAATCAGAGAAAGAGTCAACTGGCATCTTAGAGGCATTATATTGAATTTTTCCCAACCGTCTCTGTCGACGAGATTTTCTAGGTTTTGCCGAGTCAACAGGGTCTACCGCATGGTCAAAGAAAGGAAGAGCCCTAAGCAACTGTTCTTCTTCCCCTTTACTCGCTTTAGCTCGGGTGACAACCATATTACATGAGGGTACCGGCTGCAACAAGTCCCAGAGCACTGGCAGGTCATGGCCCAAAACCACAGGAAATGGCAAGTTATCTGCTACGCCCACGTCCAGAAGGTAAGTTTGTCCTTTCACCTTGATATATACATTGGAGGTAGGAAGTAGTTTTTCATCACCGTGGACACAGCGAATAGATTTCCCTTCACTGAAGTTAAGTAGGGCAGGTGGGACATACTTGTGATGCACTAGAGTCTGATCACTCCCAGTGTCCACCAGGGCCTGCAATTCCCTTCCATTCACCTCCACTGTTACCATCTGTGGTGCCCACTCCGTTTTTACTTGTGAACCCTGACGACCCCTGGGCACATAACATAAGTGAGTAGTTTTGGCTGTATTTTTAGGGCACATTGGTTTTGTATGGCCCTCCTGACCACACAGATAACAGATTGGCACTTTTCGAGGATTCTTCATAGGAGTCGCAAATGCAGGTCCTCCAAGAGACTGACTGGCACTGGGAAAATTTCCCTGGCTTTGCTGGGGAAGGGTTAGTCGGCGATCATCCCTGCTGGCTTTCCAGACCCACGACTGACTCCTCCGTGCAGCCACGAACACATCGGCCAGTGTTGCTGCATGTGC